CCCACTCTGTACTCAATGGATTACATGCATTATTCGTTTACAAGAGAAGAAGCCGAAGGATTTCCTTTTACCACGCCGGACCTGACCATGATACATACAAGATGAAATGAACCCCATGAAAGAGCAGATGGATGCTGCAGAAGGAACCCGAATAGAAAGAAGAAGAAAAGAAGAAGACTGCCCAGAACTAACGGCTAGGAAAGCAGAAAGAAAAGTCAAAGATGGCTAACACCTAGTTGGCTGCCCACTGCACCACCTGCAGTGCCGATATTACTAGTATGAGTGTCGAGGGTAGGATCCTATACGGCGTACTCGTTAGCCTATCTTTCTTGGTAGGGCTTAGGTGAATTATACTATTTGACAGACTTACCAGATAACATAGGAATGGAACAATATCCTCGACATGGCGCCCATATAGACATTGTTGATCTGACATATCTGCGCCAGCTGGAGGGCAGACGGGGCGCCGACCAGCAAGAAGCACACGACGATGAAGATTGGGTCTTCCAATATGCTGACGGGCACGTACTTGGCTGTTAACGCCAGTATGGGCCCCATGATAAGCGTTGGCAGAACCATACGAGCCACCAGCGATGCAACTATGAGTTTCCGTTCTTCCTTTGGATCTTCATCGTCCGTCAGGGCGTCCTTGGGCAACGTGCTTCGTTCCAGATTTGCTCCTAGAACGACTAGAATGAGTGGCACGGCGACGCCGCCCGATTGTTTCACAGCGCGGGTGACGGAGTTGCTTAGGAAGTTTCCGGGGGTGAAGAAGACGCGTTGGATGGAAGGGATGGAGGCCACTAGGACGGCGACAAGCATGGCCCAGAGGGGAGGGTTCATGAAGGCCCAGAGGCCGGAGAAGAATGAGGTGAGGCGAGAGGAGATCCAGCTGAAGAGTTTCTGGAGTGGGAGAGGGAGTGCTGCGAAGGATTTTTGCGAGACGGAGTGTATGAATTTGGTGATGGAGGCGAGGATGGATTGGAGCAATTGTTTTTTCTGATCTTGTTCTTGGACGGGGGGGAAGTGAATTAGGTCGTCATCGTGGTCTGGCCGAGCAATGAATTGGCCATGAGGCAGGACGAGGATTGGATGGTCGGGGTCGTCATCTGAACGGCCATTCTTGGAGTTGGTTTTGGCATATGGACGGTGTCGCTCCAGAACAGGGGTCTGAAAGCCGGATTCGATGTGCAAGTCCTCTGAGGAAGAGGAATGTGTGGACCTAGCTGCTGGGGTGACCTGTCCGCTGTTGACGGCGGTGCGAGCCGAATCGAGCTCTGGCTCATCGAGGTACCTGTCTACGTCGTCCAGCCGAGCATTGGCGATCTCCTCTTCGTCGCGTAGGTAGGCCTCACCGGGGGCAAGGAGAACGTGGTATCCCCAGCTCCAACGGACGGCCTGGCCAAGTTGCTGGAAGATGAGCAGATACAGGATGCCTCGCGCTGCGACCTCGCTATCGTTGTCGTTGGGAATCTTGTCCCAGTGCAGGCCGGACAGAGTCTGGGAGAGCGATATAACCAGCGAAATGGGCAGCGAATTCGAGTTTCCGAACACCTATATTCGTTAGCCAGACGTTTTCCAGAGTGCGAAAGGGAGTGATGCTCACTCCCATGGCCTTGACAAAGTTAGACTGGCGCCTCTTAAAGCCGAAGCAGCGTGAGACTATGACGGCAGAGATATAAGATATCAGAGTCTGGATGCAGAAGAGGACCGGTATGATGGCGAGATCGGCGAGCTTGCCTGCGGTGAGCTGGGATGCGAGCTTGGTGAAGATGAGACAAGGAGTGAAAAGCATGACGTTGAGGTTGGCGACGAACTTCTGCGACTCTGCATCGAACATGCCCATGCGCGCAATGATGTAGCCCGGCAGACTGACACAGACGACCTCGAGCACCGCTTCGAAGACGAGCAGGACGAGATGGGGGATGGACGGGTGCGGCCCGCCGCCGGACGAGGCATTGCTGGAGCTGTCGACGAGGACGGCGACGAGCGAGTTTGCTCGCTCAAACGACTGCGGCGATAGCATCTTATCACCTAGTTATCTAGATGCCGGATGTCCGGATTTCGGAATGTCTGGATGTCGCTATCCGTACGGAGTAACTATGTGAGCTTCTCTCAAACTGCCTATCGACACTGGTCAAATACAGGAGAAGAACAGAGATCAACTTGTCTGTTCACGAAGAAGAGTAAAGAAGGAAAAAGGAAGAAAAGAAGAAGGAAAGGACTAGACTATCGTTGCTAGTTTGTCGATGCCAGTCAAGTTCAGAATTGAGATCTTCTTTTTTCGACTTTTCTAACCTTGGTTTGACGGACAAGGATGGAGTATCGCAGCTATGTTCCTGGCCCGCCAATCACAGTGGGGAAGAACATCATGCCTATGGCCGCCGCTTCTCGCCCAGACCTTGGCTCAGAGTACGCAACGACAGGCGACAAATATAACATAAGTAGCAGCCCATATTTTCCGTACACCACACAAAGGAGATGGAGACACTCACAGACACTGAATATGTCAGTGCCATAGCGGCAGTATCGTATCATACTACGGCAGACATATATGTACAAGATGCTGGCGTTCTTCCATCTCTTCTGCCGTGGGATTTCTTGGTGAAAGACGCCACTCGCCACCCAGTACTAAGTCGAGCAGGCTGAGCGCGCAGAGTGAATAAGGATATTCACCGCATCGTCATCGCCATCATCAGCCAGCCAGCGTCCTGCCTTTGTCCACCTGTCTAAACCTGGAGTATATCTCTACTCTGGTACGGAGTACATTCTCACCTCCATCACCTCCATCATCATCTTGCATTTGCATAACCCGTTCTTATATGACTATATCGTCTACTCTATACAGAGTACCATATACATGGTAAGGCAGCAACATTTATCTGATCCGCGCAATACGCCTCGTGGCTGAATCTGCGTTGTGGCTTGTACTCAACGTATTAGCCCCACAGCACTGCTAGAGAAGGCTTAACATACAAGTAACGCTTGTTCGTTTGACCAACGAGGCAAAAAGGACAAGTTCTTGTAACTGTCGTGTCTTTGATAGGAAGAGGCAGCAAAGAATCCAATGCAAAGGGCGACGATGGCCAACTGCTTGCCCATAAACCCGGCCAATATACGTATACATACCTCGAGGTGGCACATATAATCCCACGTTCAACCATGCCGACAATCAGGGAAATCCAACCGGATTTGGCACATATTCCGTGGATCTGATTTATATTTCATACCCGTTGTTTCCAACGTCTTTTGAACTCTAGAGTGAAGCAAAAAAAAAAGACTGTCCTTGCGATCCTTGATATGCTCGCCCCAGGGGTGATACATTTGGTCGAGGGCTCGGGTATTGGCTGCCAAGGTAACGATAACTTGTCATCTGAGATTCACAGGCTTTTCGATGACTTCAAATTCTACATTTGAGGTACCGGATCCTCCCGCTAACCATCAACCTCATGCCTATAGGATAGATTTCAAGGAAACGAAATAAGTCCTTCGCCTAGAAGGGGCTGCCGCTTCCCCGAACCCTACTTCTCTCATCTAATCGGTCCATTGATCCACCATCAGTGAAACCATCCATAGTACTTGCAATCCACCGAGCAATCGGCATTATTCTTCATATCAGTGCTGCTGGGTGTTTACATGGGTGAGGTATGGAGCAATTGTGGGTTAAAAGCGACGGCTTTCCAGAGTTAGGCCGTATTGTCTCCCTAAAGATGGCTTAATGGAGAGGGGGCATAGAGTATGGTATCTCATTATTATCGCAGCTATCAAGCAATGGCAGTATTTTGAGAAGAAAGAGCTGCAATCAGTCCAAGTGGTCATCGGATAATATCATAACTGACATGAGCTAGCCATAAGAATGATAACGGAATTAAACAGTACTGAAGATTGCCCATAATGCTGGCTGTCGATGATGGTATATTAAACTGTTGTACCTTGATTCGTTTATTGAAGTTCACGGTTGAACATTTACTATTTTCTAATTGGTGGATAATATGTAATTTCTTCTCTCTTCCTAGCCAATCATTAATTTTGATGTTCAGGTATCTCGCCAGGTAACTACAAACGCTCATCAAGGCGAAAAGAAAGCATCACGACCAGTTTTGCTTCACAGGTCCAGTGATACGAGTTAAGTGCCGAGGCTCAACTGCCGCAGAAATGACGGCGGTGCAGAGAAGGGTTGGCTTCACAGGCTGCCTCTCGAGACCTTCTATAAGCTCGACCTTGATACGGAATTACCGGGCAATGGGTCTGTTTCTTTTTACCCCTAGCTTGTATAGCTATGTACGTTACTGATCCATTGAAGGGACTGGATCTGATGATGAACTCTTTACATACACGTCCGGCCGGTTTCTTTACAACGAGCAGCGCCGCCTTGCCGAACGTCGAGTTATTTTCGACGTTGCTGCCTTAAAGCATGTGGCTGAACAGCATGTCGGACATGGTACAATTACCTCCTTCCAAAAACTTGCTGAAGGAGGCTTTAATCGGGTATTCCTCCTTACCACCGAGGGTGGATATCAGGCCATTGTCAAGGTTCCTTACAAGACTACCGTCCCCAGACATTATACCACTGCTAGCGAAGTCGCTACAACAGACCTTTTACGATCAAAGGGGGTCCCTGTACCACGTATACTTGCTTGGTCCACTGATCCAAACAATCCTGTTGGAGTCGAGTACGTTATTATGGAAAAGGCGTCTGGGGTCCCATTGGAAACAAAATGGTTTAATCTATCGAAACAAGAACGCCACTATCTTGTGACAAGTTTGGTCGATATCGAGAACACGCTATTTGGTATCCCCTTTGGCCGTTATGGCAGCATATACTATAGAAAGGATGTCCCGTCAGAGCTTCAGCAAGACCTCTATGCAGAGGGCACCGACCCAGCCATGGCTTCTGCAGATGAGCGGTTTTGCATTGGCCCTACTACCGATTATATGTTCTGGTACGGCAAACGCGCAGAGATGGGAATCAACCGTGGGCCCTGTAATATTTCAGCTTATTCTATTTCCCAGTTGAGAATGAATAGGGTACACTAATGGGTGTACTTATTAGGGAAAACTCCGGCGGACTATTTGCTTTCTATAGCAAGACGGGAATGTGAGTGGACGAGGAGATATGGGGAACCTCGCGCCGTCCGATTCCCTCATGTGGTCAACTTTGAAGGCATAAACTCTCCTGACGACCATATCCAGCTTCTCAAACAGTACATGGCCATGGCGCCCTATCTACTTGGTGGGGATCCACACCGTGAGTTGAACCGTCCAACTTTACGCCATCCGGGTAACTATACCCCTTCCTAAGTAATAGAATAGGCTATTAATCATTGTCTAGACCTCACTCCAGGGAATGTATTCATCTGTCCGGAAACCCACAAGGTGGCTTGTATCATAGACTGGCAGCATGCCGCCTTACTTCCTCTGCTCCTGGCTACAGGGCACCCTCCAATGCTCCAGAGCCCCGATCACCCTGCACCACAGACACTTGAGAAACCTGTCCTCCCTGCAGAGTATGACTCGCTCTCCCCGGAGTGCAAATCGCAAATAGACGAACTCCATCGACGCAGGATGCTATTTTATCTTTACATGGTGTTTAATGGTGGCTTGAACAAAAGACACCTATCGGGAATGATGGATCCCCGCGTCCTCCTTACACAGCATCTTGTCGAGAGAGCTGAGAAGCAATGGAGCGGAGACATCTTCAGCTTAAAAGGGGCTCTTATCAGAGTAACCGAGAACTGGAGCCACTTCAGCGTACACCTGCCAGAAACAGCCCCGTGTCCTGTATCATTCACTCCGTCTGAGATCTAGATGCATTATCAGCAAGAATCGACTTGGTTTGAGATGAACGGCCTCGTCGAGTACTGGAAGTCGGAGCTTGGGGGTTTGAATGACGATGGCTGGGTTAGGACCGAAGCTTACGACGATGCGGTGAAAAAGAGCATGGAGTTGAAGCAGGTCTTACTGGATGGTTCCGATACCCTAGAGGAGGAACGGTGTGTTCAGGAACAGTGGCCATTTCAGGACCATGAGGAACCAACCACGGTATAGTCCTCCAAGCAAAAAAAAAAAAATAAAGACATACGAAAGTCGGGATTCGCTGGTGGTCACCCACCCAACTACTAACCGACCGGCAAGTGGCTTAAGTACAGCTGAGCGGACGGGAAGCTCTGTTTTCCACTTCCTATGTTCGTATGTACTTAGTCTATAACTCTAGGGATAGATATAGGAGAGAAAGGAGTGTATGTGTGAAGAGTGAGGCCCGCATAGAGAATGCATATCAATCTACATGTTCTACATCGAGATGGGACAGATAAGCACTTTGCCAACCGTTACCTGGGTACTTACTATTACTTACTATTACCCATATAGGGAGACTCCGGTGATGCATAGACAAGACCTTACCGTGTATCCATCTGCCACCGGAGTTGGCATACAGAGTCAGGATAACCCCCGTTAGATAACTCTGTTATATCCATACATACACCACAAGTATATATAGACTCTTACCTCTCGCAGACCAAACGCCGAGGGGTTTTCGTCCCCTTTTTCCCGGTTGCCTTGTGTGGCGACAAAAAGCTGCTTTTTTCCCTAGCGAAAAAGATGATCCGGCGGGCTTCTTCACCACCACAAATAGTCAACATCTTTTTTTTTTTTTTACCACAGAGATATATAAGTATATATTCACACGTATATCCATAAGGACGAAAAGGACCCTTCTGTCACTATCTGTTATATCCTGCGTTAGTCAGTCTTCAGTCTCATTCCGCTCATCCCGCAGAAGAAACGCCCGTTATATAGCTCGTCAGGACCTCCGCCGATGCAGATCCTTCGCCCGCCGACCATAGGCTGACAGTTCTCTTCTCTCTCTCTCTATCTCCCCCTCTCTCCTTTATTCGATATATTCACCCTTCTACAGGCTCTCATGGACCGATAGGCCGCCTGCTGTTGTCTTCCCGTTGCTACAGAGCAAGCATCGCACTGGGGAGGGGTGTGAAAAGACAGCGGTGGTAGGTTGAACACCCAGAAGAAACAGAAGATAAAGAAGAAGAAAAGGTGAATACAGGATAGAAGAGCAAGGATGGAAGAAATGGATATCAAGATGCAGGAAGACGTCAAGGTGGAAGGGGTTGAAGACCAAGGGGAGAAGACACCACAGTCGACCACAACCACCTCTACGGCTGCAGATACGCATACAACCACGGCTGCTACGGCTACTACGGCTACTATGGCTACTACGGCTACTATGGCTACTACGGCTACTATGGCTACTACGGCTGCTATAGCTGAAGATGGACGCCCTCGACTACCAGTCATGCCGTCCGCGTCTTCAATACGCACTACCTCCGGGATGATGACCCCTTCCTCCACCCCTCTAGGCCATGTCAACGCCGCCCGCCGCCCTGGCCCCCTGCCAGCTCGTGGAAGCCAGTCCAGCGGCCTCTCCCAGGACATCCAGGAAAAGATGAAGGCCTTCTCTCTCTCCCGTCAGGGTGCTCCGGCCAACGGTAACGGCCCTGGGATGAACATGAACAAGAACCCTCCCGCGGCCCAGCAGGGGGCTTCCAACAGACTCCCGGGCGGTGTGCCGCCCATGAGTCTGTCCTCGCCACAGGCCGCCGGACCGTGGTCCTCTCCTTCCGGACAGGGGCCTACCGGGCCTATCGGACGCGCTCCTACACCCAAGATAGGCGGTGGACTAGCTGCCAAGCGAGGTATGGCGGGGGGGATGAAGCTGTCCAACGTCACCGGGCCCTCGCCGGTGGGAGCCTCACCTGCCGTGCCAAACGCCAACGGGGCGCCCTCCACTCTCCCGGGAGGCAACAGCTCCTCGCAGTCTTCGTCCACTCCCAACTCTAACCCTGCGGCGTCTGCCTTCAGCAAGTACTCCGAGTTCATCGACACAAAGGCGGGGACTATCAATTTTAAGAACAAGGCCGTCATCCATGGCAAGGGCATCGACTTCTCCTCTGGCCAGAGCTTCAGCATATCCCTTGACGAGGTCGAGTCTCTCAGCGAGCTGGGCAAAGGGAACTACGGTACCGTGTACAGGGTACGCCACTGCCGGCCTCGACTACGCCGGCCTGGCCTGGGCTTAAAGGGGACCATGGCAGTCGGTAACCTGCCCGACAACGTTGGCAATAGTAATAACAACAACTCTGCCGAACCCGCACCCGCTGCCAAAAAGGATAAGAATGACCTTACAAACGTCATCATGGCCATGAAGGAGATACGCCTCGAACTCGACGAGGCAAAGTTCACCGCAATTATCATGGAACTCGATATCCTGCACCGCTGTCTCTCCCCCTTCATCATTGACTTCTACGGCGCTTTCTTCCAGGAGGGGGCAGTCTACATCTGCGTCGAATACATGGACGGCGGCTCAATGGAGAAGGTCTATGCGGGCGGCGTCCCTGAAAACATCCTAAGGAAAATCACCCTTTCCACCGTCATGGGTCTCAAGGCGCTCAAGGACGAACATAACATCATTCATCGAGATGTGAAACCGACGAACATCCTTGTCAACACTCGTGGTCAGATCAAGATATGTGATTTCGGAGTCAGCGGTAACCTCGTTGCAAGTATTGCCAAGACGAATATCGGCTGTCAAAGCTATATGGCCCCCGAACGTATTGCTGGCGGTGGTCATCCGGGAAGTGCGGGTGGAGGAACGTACAGTGTGCAGTCTGACATCTGGAGCCTGGGGCTGACTATTGTCGAGTGCGCGATGGGAAGATACCCTTACCCCCCTGAAACATACAACAATATCTTCAGTCAGCTTAATGTAGGCTTTTCCCTCCATTTCTCTCATTCCATATTTCATACCTACTAACGCCACCCAGGCCATCGTACAAGGGGACCCACCCACTCTGCCTGCCGAAGGCTTCTCGCCTGAAGCTAAAGACTTCGTCTCAAGCTGTCTACAGAAAAATCCTGCTCTCCGGCCAACCTATGCCAATCTCATACGCCACGCCTGGGTAGAGAGCCTGATGCAGCCTCCTCCTGCCGCCGCCACTACAGATGGCGCAGACCAACAACCCAACAGCGACCAAGACACCTATGATGAAGAGGTCGCCGCGTGGGTTTGTGATGCCCTTGAGAGAAGAAGAACTGGACAAGCTAATGGCAGGGAACGACCTGCCTTGCATGCCGTTGCCCTTGACGCGGTGCCTAAGAGCCCTCTACTAGAAGGACACAGTTAGGCTGCTGCAACCTACATACAATCAGTACCAGTCCTCTTCCTCCTCTCTAGACCTAGTCCTATGCTGGGTGCTGGCCACCTAGTATCCAGAAGAGTTAAAAAAAACACGCATATACACAGAGCGAAGTCATGAACATTTAAAAAAAATCAACATATCCTACATGGCCTATGAAACACTCGATTCAAATACCCCTCTCCTATGGCCATCTCATGCTTCCTATCTTTTGCAGTTATCTGTCCAACTATGCATTGCCTGTATTCTTTTTTTCCTTGTCAGGTTACTGCAGTTGTCTAACTACCAAGGGCCGTTTATATGGGATTTATTCATGGGTAGCTCCATCTTCTGTGCACTAATTCCTCTATTAAGTAATAGTAATTATCCATTCACTCTAGGACAGACATATATGCAATCTAGTAAGTGGTTCATTCATAGCTACCTAGGTAGCTGTCCACGGCTATAGAACTGTGGTCCGCCTTTTCATGTGATACAGACCTTGAGAGTTCAATGGCCGTGATTATATAATCCGGAAAACGCACTTACTATTGTACCGATATCTGTTCTTGCTTAGTCATTCAACCGGCCAAAATTGTTCAGCGCGTTCAACGTCAACATCATTCAACATCATTGATCCAGGTAATGGTACAATTGTTTCTTTGGACAAAAAGATAACTAATTAGATCTTGGTACTGCTAGCTGGGATTTCTGAGGATTTACTCAGGTAAATACGTCCATATGAAGGATCTCGTGAGCCTAGAGACAAGAGCTAGGGAGTGTTATCTAGATACCCAGGGCAATTTGATAACTGCGGCCCATATACCAGACACTATTATACATGACTTTGATTATATTTATTTAAATAAAGGCCCGAGAGTAGTCGCAACCATACCCTCAATTTGCCCCGTGGAGCTAGAGCGAAGGAGTTAGAACACGACAATGGAAATTACAGGAGATGAACCGGGCCCTGTCAAATAGCTACAAGGGAATGCCATTGACGGTACTGGGCATTTGTTAGATGAGGGTCGGGAAGGTTAAGTTATCACGTCAAAGTAACTATGGGTCAGCAAACAGCTTTAGCTATAAATAGGACACAAGTCTCTTCGGCATCTCTCGGATGGATACTCACCGAAAGGAGGCGAACGCTAAACATGTACCTTAGCGGAATAGCTACCATCAGGGCATGCAAATATGCTGACAAGCATGCATAGCTATCAAATGGAACGTCAAAATAACGTGGAAACACGCTCGCAGATTCCCCCGTTCGCTACTATTGTCAGTGAATTCAGCAGTTAATGTCTGGCACATGTCATCCATAATAACGGCTATTTTCTGCACGTTGTGATAAGCGGTATCCACATGCAAACCATCGAGATGGGGCTTATTGAACCTCCGCTGCAACATTTTGATATAGCTGATCGGTCTGGCTGGCCATGCCATAGTACGTCGGATTATATCGACAGTAGGGATATCGATATTCAAAAGTTAGCACCCATGTATGCTGGCGACACGGCTGTCTCAACTTGATCCGATTCTGGGTCTGGACATCAAGGCTATGGCCATCCATGTGTTGGCTTGCGAGCTTGTCACCAATTTGGAGATTTTTGTTTTCAGGCTCCATACGAACACTCCGGGAAGACACACAGAAAGTGAACTAGTTAGGCCGTTTTGGATGGAAGCGAGTAAATCTGTCCATGGTTATTGGTTTATTATCCGTTGCCCTTTGTGACAGGTGCTAACCTGGTCGGCAGCCGGTTCATGGCTTAGTGTACCCCTGTCAATACAGGTGCTTCTTTAGCCAATCATCTGTTGCTCCTATTCATACTTGACTTATGCCATTTTGGGTCACAAGCTGCGAGGCTGTGCGGACCATCGCGGATTCAGACCATAAAGGGCAAAAGTTGCGATAGCTTCCTGTTCCATAGCCAACCCTGCTGGAGCAGCGTACTTATCCATGAATTATATATTTACAACTGCCAACACTCAATACATCTAATGATGAGGCTTATACACGATCATATCAAGGTGCAACTCGCCAAGCGCAGGAGTTGCTTGTCTACTTGCTATGACACACTGCATCGATGGACTTCCTAATCGGGTGTCCTTTGCGAATGCCCTCTGCCCTAACCACACGGCCTACAACACTTACGGAGCTGTTACTGCATAGTGCGGCGCACTACGGATGCTGCGTGGATCACACATATATAAGGAATCAATGGGCCACCTCTGCGGGAGACTTTAATCCTCAAAGTTGCGTATCGCTGGCTCAAACAGTTCTAGACATACGAGAATATGGGCGGTTCCGCGATGTGCCCGATCCATGACCTCTCTGAAGGCAAGCAAAGACTAAAGCGAAAGGCGAATGAACATGTAAAGATTAACCATCTTTCTTGCAGATGTTACCACGCCAGCTTTCGGCTCCATGGCCTTCTACACATTTGACATGATATTAGGCGGCGCATGTACTACCTTTGCCGTCATCGCCATTTTCCTGCATCTGCTCAACCATGCGACACACCTGAGCGTGCCTCGTGAACAGATAAAGTACGCCCATCACCGGCATCCATATGTTTGCCCCATCTTGTCGTGTTCGGCTGTGTTTACTGACCTACCTTTTCAGGATCATGAGAGCCGCTCTTCTTGTGCCCTCCTACTCCGTCTGCTCCTTTCTCTGTATCTGCTTTCCCAAGGCCGCGGTATATCTCCTCCCGTGGCTCGACGCCTTCCAGGCCAACTGTTTGGCCACCTACTTCCTCCTCCTCTGCGAATATGTGGCGCCCGACGACCCCGGGAGGGACCTCTTTTTTTCTACTATTGAACTGAAGGACAAGAGGGCGCAGAAAAAAATGATGAACGGCGCGAAATGGTTCCGAGTAAGGACTTCCCTTGCATTTGGCCATGCCTGACGTTCATTAACTACTGCGATCGTCTTATAGCAACGCTGGATTTGCATCTTTCAATATGTCCCCGTTTCGTTCCTCGTCGCCATCACAACCGTTGTGACTGAAAGGTTCGGCGTCTTTTGCCAGTACAAGATCCAGCCAGCTTTTGCCAAACTATGGGTAACCACGCTCACCACCGTTCCGTTTACCAGCTATTGCTTTGTTGTTAACATTCCACCCGCAGCTCACCGTCATCAACAACATCTCGCCGGCTGTTGCCTTCACATCAGTGGTACTAGTCGCATTAAGCATGAAGCCTCATATGCCGCAGCATAGGCTCATTGCGAAACTTCTTGCCGTTAAACTCGTCGTCGGCTTGGGCTTTGTTCAGAGGGTGAGTCCAACTCCCTCGAGAGAGAAAGCGAGAGCAACTATGACCACCGGGAATGCGCCATTGCTGATATGATTTAGATTATCTTCTGGATACTCGAAAGTACCCCAGCGCTGAATCCTACTGATAAGCTTACTTACGCTGATTTAAACATCGGCATCCCGGCTCTTCTCAGCTGCCTGGAGATGGTCCCCATCTCTCTCCTCGTTATCTGGGCGTATCCTGTGGGACCTTACAAGTATGGACTGTCTGGCGAAGGCTGCGAGCGAGAGCCTGAAGCACACCCTCCTAGGTCGTACCAGGGAGGATTCCTCGGAGTCAGGGCATTCATCTCTACGGCGAGCCCCCTCGAGACCATCAAGGGCGTCGTCTTTGCATTTAAGCTGCTCGTAAAGCGAGGACCTTAGTTACCGCGAGTCTACTCAGACATCCTCATGGTTATACTTTATAGAGTATCTATCATATAAAGAATATATTTAGAGAATAAAAATAGAATTAAGTTTAGATGACTAATTAATTCTAAATAGAGTTCAATCCGCTTATATAATACTTTAAAATCTAGCCTTAATAACCTTAACTTCTGTACGGAGAGACTCTTAAGTATAAATACTTACATAGCTTATAAGAACCCGAAGTTCGTCTTGGAAGGACATCTCACGTCCATCCATGCCTCCTCTAGCACACTCGATGAGACTATATATACCTTAGCAGTTCCCAGCCATCATGTCAACGTCGTCAGGCGGCAGGTCAGGGAACCCGCGTTCTCGGCCAGCGAGAACAAGCCCCAGCGCAAGTGGTGGGTTGCTGGATCACAGGCGAAGGAGCACGGCAGCGGAGTCGGGCCAGAATGGTGGGCAAATTCATAGGCACAATGCATGAAGCTGTATTGACGATGCTTGAAGCGATATCTACACTCCTACAACCGCCGGTAATACGCACCGGACTCCCCCCTCACACCGTGGTTCATTCGCCCACCTCTCGAGACATACCTCCTGTCACTCTCACCACTGTCCCCCATGTCGAACCCTCAACTTTTAACGAATACCTCAGTCAGGTCGGAATCCTGTCCGATGCTTTCCACCGCTCGAAGCTCGAGTCTAAAGACGGCGGCGCACAAGTGTTTCGTCAAGACGGGGAGCTTGCACCGCGCGGAAAGCGGAAGGCGAGCGTTTCGAAGCGCGGCCAGCCTGCTATGCTGTCTACGATTCCCCCTGTGTATTTCGATGAAAATTTTTGCCTCGAGAATCCGCGCACTTTCGGCGTCGTCAGTGAGCATGCAGAGGTTGTAAAACAGCCACCGTCCACCACCAGAGACCTTAACAAGGGCGCCAATGGCACTGCTGCAGATGGTAACCCGCAACCTGCTAGGAAGGCGCTTACTACCAATGCCATATTGCAAGAGAAGTTATCGTGGTACATGGACACTATAGAGATTCATCTGATATCTTCGATTTCGCAAGCGTCAGCCTCCGTTTTCGCCGCGCTCGGCTCTCTTCGTGGGCTCCAGGACGAGGTGGCCAACCCTGTCGCAAAGATCCAGAAGTTGAGGGAAGACCTCGCACAGTTGGACAAAGACATGGTAGCCCGCGGTTGTGAGATCGTCAGCATGAAGCGAAGACGGAACAATCTGGGAAAGCTGGGCGAGGCTACAAAACAGCTTCAATGTGTCCTCAGCGGCGCCAGTCATTGCGAGGAACTCGTCGACTCCGGCAGCTGGAGACGGCTATACAACACATATCGTACGTCGAACAGCTTGCGTCTGGAACGCTGAATCCACAATTTGGCGGCGAGTTGCATCGGCTTACCGATCTACGCCGACTGCATGTTCTTGGAGGACTGTTGCAAGGCATCAACCAGCTTCGCCTGCGGATCCGGGAAGGTTATGAAGCCCGGTTGCTGAACATCCTGTTGTGTGACTTGCGCCGACATGTGTCCGGCGTACCGTCGGGAGATACTCTTGCGCGCTGGGTTGATACCGCAAAACGCTCACGGGGCTCGACAGATGTCTCCCCATCGAAACCCGCGTCCATGATGACTGCAGAAAAGCTGCGCGAAGAACTCATCCCTGTGCTGCAGGGGCTCGGCCAGTCGCAGTATCTGGCTGCACCAGGTACTGCGTTTCGCGAAGCTGTCATCCGAGAGATGAAGTCTCTTATCCGCCAGCACCTGCAGAGCTCTACCGACGACGATGCTGAGTCTCTCGCATCCGCGTCCACGCTAGCAAGCAGTCCTCGTCCGTCCCAGCAGGAAAAGCAGAGCATTCTATCTCGCAACTTGCGTGCTCTCAACCCTGAGGACTCCGAGGCGCTCTTTGTCAGGATCTACTGCGGGATAGGCGAAGCATTACGGAGGCTTAACGTACAGATCAAGGTCCTCCTCGATATCACAAGCGGCATGAAGACGACTCAAACCCTTGACATGTCAAGCCTCCTCATACAGGCAGTGGACAAGGCAGAGTCAGAGATGACAAAAGTGCTGCGTGTCAGAACCGAGCAAACGATTCGCCTTGGGTCGACCGATTTCCTACGCTACTTTACGCTGAATCGCTTGTTTGTCAATGAATGCGAGGCAGTCTCTGGACACTCTAGAGCGGCACTCAGAGGCGTCGTGAACAACCAGATTCACGACTTTATTCCGCTTCTGCACGTAGAGGAAAAGCAAAAGCTGGCGCAAAAGATGGAGTCTGAAAAGTGGGAGCCCGTCGATTTCAAGCCCCAGGACGCATCGATCCTGGCGCACATCCTTCAGTCCATGACCTCTGATCCCCCGGCATGGCTCAGTTACACGGACACTGGTACGGCAGGCCTGGAGACTGCTAAGCAGAACAAGACAGGCCCGACACTAGCGGTCATCGAGGAGGAGGAGTTTATGCTCGTTGATTCGGCAGCATTTGCACTTCGCGGCATAGAGCAATACGCAATCCTCCTGGCATCGATCCCCGGCATGGTCAACGAGATCTCGACGGCCCTGCTCGACTACCTCAAACTGTACAACTCGCGCACACAAGAACTTATTCTAGGTGCTGGCGCTAGAATAACAGCTGGGCTGGCTAATATCAATACCAAGCACCTTGCCCTTGCCTCGCAGTCACTGTCCTTCTTCATTGCTCTGATACCCTCTCTCTGATGTAGAGGGTCGCGCGAAAACTCATTATGTCGATGAGCTTGTCGTGGATAGCGGACCGATGGTCTTGGAACAAGCGCTTCAGCCGGTCATATTCTGCCATGCCGGAGGCTGTGATGGATGGTCGGCGACGGACACACTCGCGTACGTATGGAGAAGATCGAGTGGGACGATGAAGACGAGGTGCAGAGGAACGTCAGCCCACACATGGAAACGCTCACGAAAGAGGCGCTCACGCTACAACGAGTGCTGAGCAAGTACCTGCCAGCGTCGAGTATGAGGATGATCGTCAGACGGGTCTTTGCCAGCTACAAGGAGCAATGGAGCAAGGCATTCGAAGGTGCAGCGATACATACCGAGGCCGGGAAAGCAAGGTGAGCCTCATCGTCCTCCCCCATGAGAAAACATGTTTGTTGCTAGCTAACCAATGTGCAGGCTTCTGCGAGACGCGGAGCTGCTCAAAGCAAAGCTCGACAAGATTGACGGCGCAGACGAGCTCGGCGTGCACATGGTCAATATTGTCAAAGCGAAGCAACTCTTGTCACGGCCAAAGGCTAGCAGGGACGCCCCGTCCGACGAGGGCAGGCCCGCTGCAGTCAATGAAGCTTCTAGTTCCGAAAGTGCGGCGGGAGGCTGAAGCGGTGTACCAACAGCATTGTATTATATCACTGTGTCCTTGCAGCGTTCGAACGTGATTCTTTTACTATGGAATCCAAGCATATCGGGCATTTGTCTGGGTGAAGATAGACTAGATCAAGCGAGGGGGATAGAGCCTGTAAACCCCATACAGCGATACAGCCGCATCTAGGCCCCTAGACTGTGTTCCTTACCTCGATCACAAGAGTCTGCCAGGATGTTGGCATGACCCGAAGTACAGGCAATAATGTAAAGAACAGTAGATGGACAAGTCCCATAACTACACGATAGGACTCAAGAAATAATTATACTAAAGATATAGTTAATAGCTTCTATGGCCAGGCTGCGTCATATAACTGCACAGTCATAGTATACATTGTAGAAACATCTTCTCCACTGAAAATACTTTCCGGATCGCGTTGGTTGTCCGCTGCAGACTTCTAGTGCCTTATAATTACCGTGCATTTGTCCTTGATGTATTCGCTCTGGTCGTAGGAAGAATACACATTAAGAAGGACATCGGCATGTATATTGAGCAGGGTCACCATTCGAGAGCTTTCGGAAAGAGTTTTGACGTAGTGGAAGGGTATCCCATAGATATCTTCAAACCCTACAGCCCATTTGGTAAAAGCGGCTGTGCGGTCAGTATTTCTGCAAAGGTGAAGCAAGATCGACAAGTCCATGAGTACAGAACCACCATGAACTACTGCATTTCGTCTTTCTCGATACTTTGGGCTGGCCTGATGGCCTGAATGTAGTTGGTAAATCGGCGCTCGAAGCTCCATCATGGTTGTGATCGATGCATGATATGCTCTCTGAGATTCATCGAGTGCCCTCTGAGATTCCTTCCTAGACTCATCGAGTCCTCTCTGAATCGTGTCAGCCTTTTCGCGCATGCCTCGAAGTTCTTGAAGCCTGATTTCCACAGATGCGCTGGCTTCGGTCAAAGACTATATCTGAGTTTCGAAGGCTTTTAGAAACACTTTCTTCCGTGTCTCCAGGCATTATTTTCATTTCCTTATAGATAATTCCCTGCCAATCTTGGTTCTGTTGATAACGTTAGATGCTGGTTTTTGTGGAGTGGGAGACATGAACTTGCCTCTGCCGGCTCCAGTCCTTCTGGTCGATGACGTTTGCTGGGCGTCGTCTCAGCATTTTCACCTTGAGACCGTTTCATACTAATCACTTGTCAAATATAACAAGTCTCTCTGCCGCCAATTAGTGCGGGCTCGCCTTTTTGGCCGAATGGCAGATTCCGACATCACTATATAAGTCGCGTGAACGCCACAGTATGGGGTCAACCCGCCTTACTGGTGTCAATGGGGGTCGGGAGGAAGAAGAAGAGAAGAAGAAGAGAAGAAGAAGATATTGATGAAAACTTGGCTTACTCCTCTTCTGCTTGTCTATTGGGGTTTTATGGCATCCCATGAAGCTCCAGAGAGAACAGAGAAAGGGCCAGCCAGGCAGTGAAGAAGATATCAAGCGAATGCAAGACCAGCCTGTCTCTTATTATTCTCTTTTATACCACCACCATTGGAGAGATCCTTCGTCACCCGCTATTGCAGCAAGAATACATAGACATAGGCATTACTAGAAAGGCTGCTGTCTTAACAGATAATAAGGAGTTCCGTTAAGAAGATGGCTCAGGTTACTCGTATGGCTGATGCGATCTTCAGGTGTGATTTGGGATATGATATGGGCTGAAATGGTCGGATATGAATGCTACTGTAAAATCTCGTGTATATTACTTCGTTAGTCGCCTTTCTACAGAGATTAATAATATCTATATGTAAGAATTGCGATTATTGGGCTATACTTAACAGTTATATGTCAATTGACTACCCGATTGAGCTGTATATAATATGTTCGGTTGTTAGAAAAGCATGACGGCAGTAGCATTGATACTATAAGTGCCCGTAGTTGAGTACGAAAAACACCCGTGTTAACTACTCGCATCATTAACTACTTTCCTTCTTTGGCAGCGACTCTAGTAGGGACACAGTGTTGAACGGCATCCCTCCACCCATACATCAATCTCTCCGGATTCCTACTCTCGCATCAAATCGAGAGACCAGTAATCCCTGATCCGCCATTTACATCCATCTCAGGAGTTGGAGGAGGCAAGTTGTCCGTCTTGGTGCAAACCCAGCAGCTAGCATACATGTTGACTCTGTCGATACAAGCTCCGTCAATTCTCGCGCCATGACGCCTAGCAGTGAAGCCATGTACCTCGAAGACTTTGATATACCAGGGACTTAGAGCGGAAGATCGTAGCATCACACGGCCGCTCATCTTCAGCGCACGATTGAGCTTGCTGATCTGTGCGGCAGCGGCATGGGAGCCGTTGTCGAACCAGTCCATACTGTCCATGATGACGGCGACTGTCAAAGTGCCGGGCATGATGCGTGCAATCACCTCCTCTAGCTCGTCGGTGTGGATACGTAGTCCGTCCAGAGCTCTTGGGCGCGATAGTTTGGCGTGGGCCTCGGAGGTGAGATAGTCCAGGTGGCATTTGCGAGAGAAGCTTCCGGCCATGCAGACGTGGTAGTATGGGTTGTCCTCGGCAATGTGAGTCTGTTCGGCAACGGGATCGAGGGTGTTGACCATGTAGTGCCAGATAGCGTGTGAGCGAGTATTCTTGGCTTTTCCAGTCTTGACAACCTCGGACTCGGCATGGTCGGTTTCAATCATAGCGAGCTGGTTCAAAGGCACACCAAGGGCGGACCAGAGGAAGCTCTTCTGGGCAACGACAAGATTGCAGACAAGCTTAGATAAGAGGGCCGGTCGGACCTTGTTACGCCAAAGGCCACGCTGCTCGTCGAGAGTCTTGACGTTCAAGATTTGTTTCACGGTAGATTGGAGGCCGAAGAGACGAGCTACCCAGCGGAAGGCACTGATAGCATGTCGTGAACCACCAGTATCGTAGAGACCATAGCCACCGGCGTTCTGGAAAACATGGACATTATTGAGCCAGTACTGGAATGCACGGCCGGACAAGTGCGGAGACAGCTTGGAGATGAGCAAGTTGCGGAAATCAGGGTGTTTTCCTTCACCGAAAATCTTCCAGAAATCTTCGTAGGACAGGGCCGTGTACGAGGCCGCCTTGAGCTCGAGCAGATGGTTCTGGGTAGGGTTCAGGTCGACAGCGTGGACGCGGGCAGGGCTCTGCATGAGATAAGAGAGAATATTATCTCCAGCAGAGGTGATGGCAAGAACCTTGTCGTCGGGGCCGAGATTAAGAAGTTCCTTATCCACGCGAGAATCTTCCCAGGTAAATGCATAGATGTACTCGTCGTTGAACTGAGTGTGTTTCTGCAGCTGATCATCATAGTAGATGCGCCAGTGATGGTTCTGATAAAAGAACGATGGAAGAGGCAGATTGGCAGAGATATTCTGGACAGCAGTGACGAAGGCCTTGGAGCGAATCTCCGGCGCAGACCTCTCGATTGCATGCGTAAGAGTGTCACCCTGATTCACAGGACGCAGGTACGGCGATTCCGTGGCCAAGGCATCGATGCGTTCAATAATCTCGTGTGGCAAACTGGACAGCGAGAACGGCTTCTTCTGGCATCCGATCCAGACGTAGTATGGGATGTAGCCCAAGGTGCGGTTCCGGCCATTAGCAGTCAGGACTGTTCCGAACTTATACTCCAGATAGTCACGACGGCTGGGCTCCAGGCCAACACGATCAAAGTCAAACCAGGTACGCCAGAATGCTCTGGACAAGGCATTGACATGGCGACCCAACTGTCCGCCAGTGTAGTTTCTGGAAGAGAAGTCAATCCGGTTCTGAACGTAGAAGTCAACTACGCCCAGGATACCATGAGGAGACAAGAGCGTGGTCACCAGGTCGACTACTGAGTAGTAGTCGGGCTATAAGAAAAACATGTATTAGCGGAGTTGTCAACATTAAAAGCGTTTACACTCCTCCTCGCGTAGTACAGGAGGGTGAAACACTTGCAATCATAGAAAGGCTGTATGAGAAGGTAACCAGGTCGGCTCCTCCATGCTCTGGGCCCTTTTGATCAAAGTAGCCGAGCGTGGGTGATCGCAGGGGATCTCGAGGAGGAGACATTCCCGTCTCGTAGTCCTCGAGACGAAACTTGCGAGCATCCTGACAGATGACGGTTACGTTCTTCCATCCGAGACGCTCGAATCGCTTCCTTGCGACTTCGCAGAGAGACGGGGAGAAGTCGACAAGGTAGACACTGGAGAAGAATTCGGGGACATTGACGTTCTGTGCCATTGCCTCGATATTCCATCCCGTGCCTCCACCGATCTAGCAATTGTTAAAATCCCATGAGATCTGATGCATTATTTAGAGTATTTGGGAACTCACATCGACCCAGATACGTCTAGACCTCTGCCTGTCGGTTGCAGCCTTCAGCTCGGCGGCCTTGGACTCGAGCTGGGCGGCAACCAATGCCAGCATATCCTCGCGGCCCTTAAGCAGGACCTGGCGGGTGGCATCGTAAGCGCCGGCCTGCTTGCCATAGAAGCTCTCTAGGGCGTCCTGCTGAGTAGCTTTGGGCCCGTCCTTGGTAGGCTTGAGGAAGCAGGTATAAAAGAAGAGAAGACACGACTTTAGGTAGCCTGGAGCGTCGTCTTCCTTACTGTACTTTGTAAAAGAGAAGTAAACGCCGCCGAGGAGAGCGATTACAACTCCAGCATAAAGAGGTTGAAGTTGAATATCGGAACCAAGAGGCAGGAAACTGTTACCACCCTAGAACAGATGGTCTGGTTTAGCGAGCGATCAAGCAGTTGAGGTTGAGCCCTGAGATGAGTGTGAAATACATGAGAAGCCATGATATTCTCGCATTGCTTAGAGCAGAATAACTACTTAATCCAGCAGACAAGCAAACTCGAAGCAGTGTTGAAGTGACCCAGATTTTCAATCGTTCTTCAGCGAAAGGTCAGTAGGAATTGAATAACTGATTAGCTGGTTAATTGGCACAAGAAGCCAGAAGGCGAGACGAGGGAAGAAAATAAACCCCTCGCCCCCGGAGAAGAGTATCTCCATGCTCTCGCGCTTGGATATCGTCCAAAGGGCGGGAAATGTCGATAGCAAACAGCTGCATGGGCCCAAGGGTGGCGGCAGATCTGTGATATTCCCTGTCGACGAGGGCGGTTTGTCCTGCCAATGTTCGAGTGTAGGCCAATCGCTAACCCACGCACTCTCTTAGCACCAAGGCCCGTCTTTGCTCACCGTTTCAACCGTTAGAGTTTTCAGAGACTCGTTTTTAGCCGGTGCAATATATGTATCGCAGATTTAGGCATCACTCTATCTACACAGTATATCTGTTTCTTCCTAGGTAGGTATAACTAACAGGATAGCTATATGATGTTTATTCCATAGCCATAGCGAGACGAGCTTTCTCTAGAACGTGTTAGAAGGATAGACGACATAATGTATTCAAGACGTTTAACACCTGAAAAGGGCGTCGATTCCTATTGGAAACCATGTTAGTATCATGTTCTGTGTCTTACATCCCTAGCTGGTCGTAAAAAGTCATCTACAAAGACTGGTATCGACAAGTCTGGCCGAATAGCACACTTGTCCAAGAATGGGCATGCTATCCCGAATTATAACCCCTCCCCCAGCACATGATTGTACGTAAATACATAGGTTGGCCTGCATGGGAACTTCTAGGCACCGACGGGCATAGGTGTAGAGGTAGACAGATAAGATGCTTGTGTTAGCATAATTTTCCCTTAATAGGAATCACAGGGGCGGAGTCGGATGGCTTCTTGAGGGTATAAAAGCGCATGCCCTGTGCCAGGAAACTTAAGACCGCAGATCAAGTACGCAGTGTACAGGATAAAGAACCACGGTATATCTCCAATTGCTGTGGCCCAACCTTTCCAGCTCTTCACAGAGGAGGCAGTTCAACACATGCGAACGGAAATCCTTCAACATGACGTGATGGAGAAATACCGCGTCTCCAGCACCATCGCAGCCATGCAGGTCCGTGGGTACGTCGAAAACCATGCGCCATTCATCTATGTTGCATGGAAACACCCAAAAACGCTCGAGATTCTAAAGTCATGATCTGAGCATCAAGGTTGATCATGAAATCGGGCACGTCAACTTTGCGGTAAAGACCGACGCAGCCACAGAATACAATGCTGAGAAGGAAGTAGTCGGCTGGCAGCACTACAACTGGGCAACAACGAGGTATCCTGAAGCTCGCGCAACCTCAACTAGGCTACGCAACTCTTCTGCGGGCCTAATCGCGAGCGTCTCTATGGTGACTTCGCTATAAGGTGAAGATCGCGGCGCATAAGAGATTTATCGGGGGGCAACAGGAGCATCTCCGGGTGACTGACATTGCCCCCTTAGAGGAAGAAAAGATTGAGCGCGGTATTGTCAAAGAGGTGCACGTCGACAACCAAACTATCTTGTCACACTAAGTTGTTGGTGTTATACCTAGTCGTAGCTTGATGATTGAAATCCCAAATAACCGCTAGTTATTTATTTGGATACCTGAAACATCCCTGCCCTTTAGTAATCACGAGTCATCCACCCTTCTTAGTAGATGTTTATGGTTATTATTTTACTCTACCATTTCGTTTGTGGTTTCTTCGATCTCAACCTCGAGCTTTGCTGAGAGAGAGGAAAGACGAAAGAGAAAAGGAACCGAGCGGATGAGCGGTGAGAGAGAAAAGAGAGGCTGAAGGTGAAAGAAACGAACACTTTGCTCTTGCTGGAATAATTATCCCCTTGCGTTATAGCACCATGCATCCAAGTGAGCCACAAGGGAAAGCTTTTCCTAATATAACTAACTGTTAAATATACCCCTTGCTAGTGCCCTTGAGCTTGTCCGCCAAGGGTGAAGTTTTATAGATTATAAAATGCATTATACCACCCTGCTTTGTCGACCGATAACCAATGGCTAGCACCCATGTAGACACAGGCATGCTCAAGTTTCGCTTTCTGATGTGCGATGATGTAGATAGTATGCATCCGTAGGCAACACCTGTTCGGGGATCTTGACAAGGGTGGATTTTGATCTCCAGCGCTTGGAGATTGACTAGAGGCACTTCGTAATTGGGCATGCATACAAATAGTGATTGTAAAGCACACCAGCTCGACTGCCTGACCCCGGGACCTAGCAAGACTTGGTCGGTAATAAATGTCTTCCTTCTACAAAATGCCCCCTTGCCTCCAGAATTTGCACAGAAATAATCAAGACCTGAAGAGCCTGCTGAGTTGCAAGGTGTGGTATCACATACACAATGGGGTCACGAATCGGTAGTGACCAACAGGTCGTTGTCGACTCCGCCGTCAACAAGAAGAAGGGCAAAGGCCTTCGCTTCTATATCATCATCGCCACACTTTGTTTCCTCAGTGTTCTCAGCGCCCTAGAGAATACAGTTGTCACCACGTCTCTGCCTAGCATCGCAAAAGAGCTCGAGCTGGGCAACAGCTATGTCTGGGTAACCAACGTCTTCTTCCTAACTGCGTGAGTGCTGCACCCATCTTCATCCGAGAATGTATAACAGTTAACTAGAAAGCTAACCGTCTATCCAAACAGTGCCGTCGTTCAACCGTTATTCGGTCAATTAGCCGATATCTTTGGCCGAAGATGGATTACCATGTTGACGATTGTTCTTTTCGTGCTAGGCAGCGGACTGTGCGGGGGTGCTACCAACGGTGGCATGCTCATCGTTGGCCGAGCCATCCAAGGAATGGGAGGTGGTGGCCTTAACACGCTTCCTAACATTATCGTCTCAGACCTCGTGCCATTGAGAGAAAGAGGGAAATACGTCGCTTGGTTCCTCACGACGTATTTCATTGGTATTGCCATTGGACCATGGGTGGGCGGTGCCATTGTTGATTCAACCACCTGGAGATGGGTGTTTTATATCAACCTGCCGGTACGTCGATATGACTCCTGCATATAATAGTCCATATTAGCCATCGTTTCTAACCATCCACTCACAGATTGGCGGTGTGTCCATGATCATGGTATTTGTTTTCCTCCAAGTCCAGTATGACAAGGAGATGGCTTTCGTGGAAAAGCTCCGCCGTATCGACTACGGAGGAAACTTCCTACTCATCGGCGCATCAGTTTCTATCCTTTTCGGTCTAACGTATGGAGGAAACCTGCATCCCTGGGGCTCATATCAGATTCTTGTACCCCTCCTCGTTGGCCTCGCAGGCATTGGCGCCTTCATACTCTTTGAAAACACTAAATGGGCCAAGGAGCCCGTCTGTCCGCCCCATCTTTTCAGCAACCGTACGTCTGCCGTGGTGATGATCGTAACCTTCATCAGCTCCGCCCTTTTGTACTGGGTATATTTTTTCCTGCCCGTCTATTTCCAGGCCGTACGCATGAGCTCTCCCTCAACAGCTGGACTCCAGGTCCTGCCATCAGTCGTCGTCTCTGTGCCTGCCTCGATAGCCTCTGTGCTATTACTCACACGCTTCGGAAAGTATAAACCAATCCATCTTGCAGGTTTTGCGGCTCTCACGTTAGGTTTAGGGCTATTCATCCTCCTAGACCGAGCATCGTCCACGGCGGAATGGGTGATATTTCAAATTATCAACTCTCTCGGCAATGGGATTATCATGAACACTCTGCTTCCCGCCTGCCAGGCTGCCTCCCAGCGAACCGAGTCCGACCAAGCCGCCACGACGGCCGTGTGGTCATCTGTTCGCTCTTTCGGCAGCATCTGGGGTGTCGTCGTGCCCGCAGCAATCTTCAGCAATGCCTTTGGACAGCGCGCCGATCGCATAGCCGACACCGCCACTCGTGAGCTGATCCTCAAACAGTTTCACTCCGGCAATGCATACGCAGATGCCACTGCTGCATTCCTCGAAACGCTCGATCCGAGGACGAGGAGCGAGGTAATAGGCGTGTACGATGAATCGTTGCGGTTTATGTGGCAGATTTCATTGGCATTGGCTGGGTTTTCCTTTTTACTTATCTTCATAGAGAAGGAGATCGTGTTGAAAACAGATCTTGAGACCAAGTACGGTTTGGCGGAGAAGCAAGATATTGAGGGGGACGAGAGCGCAAGTTCATAGTTAACCAGTCAACGATCAGCTAAACCCCAAACTTGTTTAATGCGATAGTGGCTCAGTTCTAACAAGGCCATCATATAGAACTTGCCTTCACCTTTACTGTTATATGGCCTTTTTTTCACTCTTGGAAGAAGAGCTTGTTTACATCCTCGCCATAGGTCCTTGTCCAATATATACATCTTAGGTCCCTCGTTGAAAGTGCTCACAAAGCCTGGGGTTCCTCAGTTACTTTATATGGGCCTCAGCCGCAGCCAGATTACATAGTAAAGACTAGAGCCAGCAAGATTTCAACTTCCTACGAGTCTTCCTTTCTCGCTACATTCTACATGCACTTTCCATTCCTTACATGCAAAGTCAAGTGTAGTACGTCTACACTTGACATTGCTGACCGAGAGAACGCTCATAGTATGATTGTTGCTATCAGAGAGTTTAATTTTACAGAGCTCGAGGGCAAAGAGAAGTGGACTGCATATGCATTTACTAAAAGCGTATATGATATATAGGTGCCAGGCTGTCTAGGGATAGTATGCGCGGTTATCGATGAGATTCCCTCTGGGCTGGATACTGGCGTCGCAAAGTCCGAAATGAAAGGTGTCATTCGCCATACAGCCGTTATATATGCCACTGTGCATACCACAGCTTTATCTCTACGCACTTGACGTAGTTGACCCAAGCATTGTACTTAGCCCTTGGATAGACGGCTATGCAGTCTCCCGGCTTGATACTGTCCATCCAGTCTGCAATGGCCGGAGCGCGAGGGCGAATCTCGTTGTAGTGAGTTCGGCGTTTGTCTGAAGCGCATACATTGGACTGTAGCTCGAGAATGTCTTTTTTCTTCCCTTCTTCTTCGGCTTCTCCTTCACCTTCATATTCGCCTTCATCTTCATCATCTTCATCATCATCTTCTTCATCATCTTCAAATTCACCATAAAAACAATAACAATAATCGTCTTCTTCTTCCTCCTCTTCTTCCTCTTCCTCTCCATGTCGAATCACTCCAAGGTCAAACCAGGTGTAAGACCCCATATACGAGTTGTGTATGCCCTCTGAGCTCCATCCTTCAGGTTGTCAGCGTCTACTAGTCTGTCAAGCGAGAGGGAGAGGGAGAGAGGCTGTACCTTGGTCGTGCGAGACGGTGACGATGTCTATTCTGCGCAGATAGCCCTGCAGCGCCGTGCTCCTGAGCTTGATATACGGCTTGACCCGCATGTCCTCGTCGATATAAATCTCGTCTTCACGCCGAGCAGCGTCCGTCACCCAGAACTCTGCGTCGTCGAGGATCTTAGCCACGATAGTCTCGGGCAGCCCAAGGGACTCGGCCAGGAACTCCAGCAGCGCCAGGTAGCCGTCTCTGGTCAGGCTGGTGCTCCCGTCTCGCACTGGCACGACCGATTCCAAGGCCGGGAACCAGCGCTCTTCTCTCGCCCAGCTGGTTACTGCTTGCGGGAGCCTGGCGGACAGGCGTCTGCCCTGCTCTGCCATCTTGCCGACCAGATACTCGCAGACATCGCCGTGCTGGAGTTCGAGAGCGCAGTGCAGCGCCGTCTTGCCGAAGGGGTCCTGGGCCGTGATATCACATCCATCCTCGACCAGCCTGCGGATCTTGCGCAGGCCAGCTTTGTTGCTGACGGCTTCGAGCAGCGTCTCTGCCATCGATAAAAGCTGGGCTTTTGAGACGGCAGCCTGACATGAAGCACAGCTGTTGGCGATGGTAAGAACTGATGACGATTACCCCACACATTCCCCTTTGTCATAAATGAGATGACAATATAGCATGACTAAAAGTCGATATGTTGGAGACGTCCCTGGATGTTAGGACATGAACGACGACCGATACTACACTTACCAAACAAATCATCCACAAAGTTTCTACTGGCAAACACTGGCCGCCGCCGAAAATATGGAAAAGATCACTGAAACAGCCAAAAAAAAGAAAAGTGGTTGTTAACTTCACAGGCTTACTCTCCTTCATTCCCATTCCTGGAGAGCAGATGATGCTGTTGGGCCAAAGTCTTGAAGCCCTCAATATACTGTCTACGGGCACACCATGAAGGATAGCTTCTACTCACATACAGACATCTTCAAGTCATTTGTCTCCAGCTCCCATAATTCTCGATCCACTTTTTCCAGTATTAAGACAGGACTCGCTGCTCTAACGGCTACGCGACAATGGCGTCTTACTCTCTCCTATTATGCAAGACCAACATATTCAGGAATAGTGTGTTGCCCATATATCACCCAACGCATCCTCACATCTCCACTAGTATCTGGGATGGTCTGCTCGAGTTAATGCGAATCGTGCAAAACTCCTGCATGGCGCAAGGCCGGAATTGCATGTTGGTGAACCCATTCGTTGCACTTGAAAGTAGGACGCCGTTGCTCGCCGGGCCCATAGCGCTCACCATCCTGTCTGGTCCAGATAATCTCATGGCGTCCTGTGCTCGGATCTACTTCCCAGAAATTTATACCCTGTTGTTTGGTTGGGCGTGGCAACTCTTGCAATATAGTGCTGATTTTTCCTGAATGAAAATCCGCCCGTTGTACCCATCCGATCTGTGGGAAGTTGTGTAGATATGTGGATTCTTTCTCCAGAGTAAAGTCTCTCTCTGCGTACCGCATCCCGCTGACAGCGATAATATCGCCGGTAACATGGAACATGGTTCCTTTTCCACAGTCTGGCTGTGTTTCAACGAGGATACCTTCGTGGTATCGCTTTGCTGGATCGAGAGGATCGAACGCGGCCGTATCCAGCTCCGGTTTGTAGACTCGGTACCATTCTCCTTCAGCAGGGGCAGCCATCTCTCTGGCCTAAGCTTCATAGTGAGCAATGAAAAATCACAAAAAGACACCAAAAAAAAAGACATACGAAAGTCGGGATTCGCTGGTGGTCACCCACCCAACTACTAACCGACCGGCAAGTGGCTTAAGTACAGCTGAGCGGACGGGAAGCTCTGTTTTCCACTTCCTATGTTCGTATGTACTAGACATGGCAAAGGAGAGCGTATACATACCCCCATACATAGGAGGGAAGAAACTATTGGAGTGATAAGGTGCGAGTCGAACGGATGACTAATCCAACAGAAACCGACTGACTAACTAATGACTAATCTGATCCAATATTAGTCATCAATGCTTATTCATCAAGCCTCGGCCCGTTCGAAAAGTGCCGGATGAATAATCAAAAGCAACGCCGGGGAAGAAAAGGCAACAGAAAGAAAAACACCATAAAAAAGAAGCCAGCATGAACTGAGCCAGCTCGCAAGGGATTTCTCTCAAGGGCCAACCCTGGTCGTTTTTTTCTTCTTCTTCCTCTTTTCTTTTTGAACTCCGCTCTCTCCCGCGTTTCCCCCGCCATCCAAGGCATGCCCTCCCTGCCCGCCCCGCCATCCGCTTCAACGCTGCTGTCTCATTGCATTACACATAAAAGCTCCTTTCTCCCGCCAATTGTTCTCCGGTCCTCCTCTTGCTCTTCTGCTCGCCGGTATCATAGCCAAAAAAAGGAGCCTCACGGTTACTTATATTCCCCCGTCACTGCCCGCCATAAGACACTGGCGACCAGGAAGGCCGAACTGAACACCACCTTATCTCGTCTCGGAGCTGTGGCGAGACAGCTATCGTCATCTTCTCCTGCACAGAATAAAATGGCGCCGATTAACATGGAAGACGTAGAAAAGTACGATTATATCGTGATTGGAGGTGGTAGCGGTGGTAGCGGTGGTGCCAGACGAGCTGCTGGATGGTACAAGGCAAAGACGCTTATTGTTGAAAATGGGCGATCTGGAGGCACCTGTGTCAACGTTGGGTAGGTCTTTTTTCATCTTCTTTTATATATAACAAAGATGTACGTGCTAATGATATATCCAGATGTGTGCCTAAGAAGATGACATGGAACTTTGGCTCCATCAATGAACATCTCGAACACGCCAAACATTACGGCTATGATGTCCCGAAGAATGTCAAGTATGACTACGGTTACTTCAAACGTACGCGAGATGCCACCATTGAGCGACTAAACGGCATCTATGAGCGCAACTGGAACCGCGAGGGAATCGATCTTGTCAAGGGAACCGCCAAATTCATCGAGCCCAAGGTCATAGAGATTGATCTGATGGATGGATCTGGGAAGAAAACGGTCACCGCTCCCCACATCCTTATCGCTGTGGGCGGTTACCCTATCGTCCCGGATATTCCTGGCGCCGAACACGGAATCACCAGCGATGGTTTCTTTGAGATTGAGGATCTGCCTCCCAAACTTGCCGTGGTTGGAGCAGGCTATATTGCCGTTGAACTGGCTGGTGTCATGAATGCTGTTGGCGTAGAGACACACATGTTCATCCGCGGAGAGACCTTTTTGAGAAAGTTCGACCCTATGGTTCAGCAAACGCTGACCAAACGATACGAGGCTACTGGCATGCACCTCCATAGAGGGTACACTGGGATGAAGAAGATTGAACTGTTGAGCCCCGGAAAGGGTGCAAACAAGCGCCTCAAACTGACTTTCGATGACGGATCGGAGATGGAAGTCAATGAGCTCCTTTGGGCTATCGGTCGTGCTCCTGCGGTCACAAACCTTGGCCTCAAGGAGATTGGCGTTAAACAAAAAAGTAGTGGCCATATCATCGTCGATGAGTTCCAAAACACCTCTGTCGACGGTATCTATGCCATAGGAGACGTAACCGGTCAGGCAGAGCTGACTCCAGGTATGTAGATAACTACAGTAACCCTTCCATTACTACTGCCATATACTAATTATCATTACAGTCGCCATTGCTGCCGGTCGACAGCTTGGCAGTCGCCTCTTTGGCCCTCCAGAGTTGAAATCTTCCAAACTCTCATACGAAAACATTCCAACCGTAGTTTTCTCCCATCCAGAAGTCGGAACGTCTGGGCTTACGGAGCCAGAGGCCATTGAAAAGTACGGCAAAGAGAATCTCAAGATATACCATACTAAATTCACAGATATGTATTTTAGCGTCTTCCCCGCCGAGGAGAAGGAGAAGAACCCTACCGAGATGAAGCTCATTTGTGCCGGACCTGAGGAGAAGGTCGTTGGCTTGCACATCCTTGGCCTCAATGTTGGTGAGATGTTGCAAGGCTTTGGTGTTGCGATGAAGATGGGTGCCACGAAGAAGGATTTTGATTCTTGTGTCGCCATCCATCCTACCAGTGCAGAGGAGTTGGTTACTCTACGATAGTTAGATTGTGCCACTGTTGATCTGAGAATGACCGATTTATGGACTGTATATAGACCTCGTCTCACCTTTTGGGCTGCGCCTTGTGTTACTAGATCATTAAAACTGTGCCTTGGGCATATTTTGGTTGAAATCAAAAAATTTTCCCGTTAGTAATTCTGATTCTGGTTTAATCTTCGCAATAAAGCTATGAAGGTAAGGTGGCATATATTCTTGCTTTCCCATTACAGCTTCGAGTTGAGCTTTGGGGGAGAGACGTCAACTTGCTTCCACCAGGGATACGCAGCAGGGACATCATTAGGGTTATTAAACGACCCTTTGAACTGTGGGCTTCTCTTCTCGAAAAAGCTTTTCACTCCCTCTTCGTTGTCCTTGTTGCCAAAGAGAGGGTATATAAGTGACGAGTCAAGCAGATGGGTTGCCTCCGCACTATCCGGGCCACGATACATGAGATCCCGCATCAACGAAGTTGATATTGTCGAGGTATTCAGTGCAATATCATCAGCTAGTTCGAGAGCGCGAGCCACTGTTGCCTCTGGCGTGGACAGAATCTCTGAAAACAGGTCTTTCAGTAAAGGGTGGTCTGCCGGGTACGTGGAGCCAGTGGTAGTGATGTGAAGTGCACGGGAGTAGCCGATGAGCCGTGGTAGGAAAAAGGACGATACGGCTTCCATTATCAGGCCACGGCGAGAAAATACGAACCCGATTTTGGCCCCCGCCGTGACTAGGCGGATGGTAGCTGGCAGTGTCATGGTAATGCCGACACCAACGGCTGAACCATTAATGGCCACTATGGTTGGCTTGCGGCAGTTGTGTATCGCCAGAGATATCCTGCCGCCACTTCATCAAAGAAATAGGGTTAGTCTTAGTTGGCTTACTTGCTTATATGCAAAAGAATGCTATAAATACCCATCTCTGTGGTCCTTTTCTCTGGCTGCAGCGCCACCTTTTCCCATTCCCCCGAATCCAATGTCCAAATCTGCACCGGCGCAAAATGCCTTTTTTCCTGAACCTGTCAGCACTATGACCTTCACACGGTCGTCGATATCAACCATGCCGAGCACGGAAGCTATCTCCTTGGACATTTGCTCGGTGTAAGCATTGAGCTTCTCCGGCCGGTTTAAGGTGAGTAGCAGCACTGGAGTAGGCGTTGAGGACGAAGGGGGAACATGTGAGAGTTTGATATGCTCTGTTGGAAGGGCAGCGTAGGATTCTGGAAGAGATGGAGGCATCTTGGTATTGCCTTTCTATAGGAGCGTATGTGTAGCAAAATAGTCCCAGGCTTAGATGTAAGGGGTATCGAGCACACCGGGTATCTTGGTTATAGATATTGAATATCGAAATCAATGGCTCGGGGGAAACTACGTGAGCTAGAAAACTCGCTGAGCTTTGATTGATATAACCAGCCCAAAAGTCGAGGAGTTGTATATAGCCGAGGTATTTTAACTAGTGAGCTGAGAGGCACATCGATCACTGGCAGGGACTGGTCTTCTCCAAGCTCGTGGACTCTGCACATCAACACACCGTGAGCATTATTAGTTAGTCGATATATTGACTGTTTTATCTTGTTTTATATCTATCTTCCTCTTCTGTTTCCTTCAACTTCAAAAATCTGGGGTATGGTCACGTGATTTGCATATATTGAAATGCAAAAAAACCGCGAAATGAAAGCAAGGAAGTCAAGGAGCGAAAGATAGAGAGCAGAGCCAGGAAGCAAGTAGGAGATCCCATGAGACAGATACCTTTGGCAGCCCAGAGATGGGGCAGCCGACTGTCTATCTACCGGGCTGCTCGATGGCAGCCAGTCCCATCGTCGGCTCATAGCAGACACTGTTCATGCTCTGCCCAGGCAGAGACTAAGACACCCGGTATAAGACAGGCCTCTGCAACTCTAGCAGATCACAGAGCCTTGGGTACGGCCCAGGAGCTCTTCACCAACTCCATCTACAGCCCAGGATCCCCCCTCTTCCGTCCCAATGGCACACACATCCTCAACAAGCTTATCTCCTTTCTCCGCGCGCAATACAGACAGTACGGCTTCCGCGAAGTTCTTACGCCGAATATATATAAACAGTCGCTGTGGGAAGTATCGGGGCATTGGCAGAATTATAAAGACGACATGTACGAAGTTGGTGGCCGAGGAAACACCGCTGAAGCTACTGAGGATGAGACGTACGGCTTAAAACCTATGAATTGCCCAGGGCACTGTCTTTTGTTCAAATCTCAAAAGCACTCATACCGAGAACTCCCTGTTCGGTATGCAGATTTCAGCCCTCTCCATCGCAACGAAGTTTCCGGTTCGTTGTCGGGCTTGACGCGGGTGAGGAGATTCCACCAGGACGATGGACACATATTTTGTCGTCCAGGACAGATCGGCGGGGAGATACAGTTGGCGCTGAAATTTGCGGACACCGTCCTCCAGACATTTGGGCTCGCAGATGGATATAGACTTGTCCTTTCTACCCGGCCAGAGAAGGACTTTATCGGATGCTTGGAACAGTGGGAGAATGCGGAACAGCAGCTCCGACAGGCGCTGGATGATAGCGGCCTAAGCTGGGAGCTTAACGAGGGGGATGGTGCCTTCTACGGTCCAAAGATTGATCTACAGATTCAAGATTCTCAGGGGAAATATCATCAGCTATCTACTATACAGTTGGATATGAACCTCCCGCAGAGGTTTGAGTTGGAGTATCTGGTTCCCGAGGGCTCGGAAGAGTACGATCCAGCCACAGGAGGGAGGGCAACCCCTGTTCTAATCCATAGAGCTATATTCGGCTCTCTAGAACGGTTCTTTGCGTTGCTAATCGAACGCTATAGCGGCCAGTGGCCATTCTGGCTCTCCCCTCGCCAAGCCATTCTCCTTACTGTTGGGAAGGGGCTAGAGCAAGCTGCTGAGGACGTGGTGGCCAAGATATCCGGGTTTGAACCCATCACTGCCAGCCGCCCTTCAAAGAGTGGCTTACCTCTGTCACCATTGCAGCCGACATTCAATGTCGATCTGGATCTCGCAAGCAGATCACTTCCTAAGAAAATTCACGACGCCCATACCGCGAGATACAACCTCGTCTTCATCATGGGACCTAAAAACCTTGCTAACGGTTCGGTTGATATCGACTTTTCTGGCCAAGTCAGCAGCCAGAGTGAAGACGAGATTAAGGCTCTGCTGGACGGTGTCCCCTGCTGGGATGTTTCTCTCTCTGCGAAAGCGGGTGAAAGGACGACGGCAAAAATGAAGATGAAGGTCGACGATGTACATGCCTGGCTTATCGAGCTAGAGAAGAGATTCCTATGATCCTCGCTGGCTGTAGTCTATATGGATGTATGATATGTTTTTATGTATTATATATAATTCTGATAAGATCAACCACTTTCCTTTTTAGGAATAATCTCATGTGACGTGGATAAATTATTCTCCGACACGCTGACCTCGGTTGTGGAAAAACTAACTTCCGGCCCGATTTTGCCCCGCGGAAATTTTGTCATTTCTCGCTCTCTAATAATTGACATCAGAATTAACGAAAGGATGGAATAGCATTCTGCTTGCCCTCCGACACGTTTAGAACAAACATCAGAGACATACGACAGCGCTCTCGGACCCTGTGAGATGGCTGTTGAGCCACCAACTCACTGGCCGATTCCTGCTGCGCTGCCTTCTCATTGAACCTCATGTCTGACTCGTCAAAACCGTCAATCTCTCGGAAAAGCGCTTTCTCGTGCGAGGCATGCCGCAAGCGCAAGGTATTCCAAGTTATCCATGGGATTGTATCTTACACAGAGAGACTTACTGTATATAGGTAAAATGTAATGCCGCGACGCCGTCATGTTCACGATGCTCAGCGCGGGGTGAAACCTGCATATATACCTTGTGGGTTCTTTTAACACCTTCTGGTGACCACACTCACCAGGACGATGTACCAGCCCGTATAAAAACGAAACTAACCAACCCACAAGAACCCCAACGTTATCGTACACACGAACCCTCGAAGCACGCATCGCAAAGCTAGAGGCTGAGCTGGCAAAGTACAGGAACGAGCCGCAACGCCGCAACGGTGCGGACACGGAACATGACCATGGCCTGAAGGTGGAGGAGTCGGACCGGCCGTCATCTATCGATTCACTCGAACAACACCATGAAGATGATAAGGAAGCCGTGGATCTACTATCTCGAGACATAGAGGGCCTAACGGTGGAGGATGACGGGCGCATCTCCTTCCATGGGCCAACGAGCCTGTTTCAGCTGCCTAGCGGTCTAGCAGAGATCGCAAACCCAACCATGTCTGTGGACAACGAGTCGGATGGCCGAAAGGAGCGTCTAATTAACAACGCATGGAGAGAGCGTGCATTCGAGCAGTTAACTACCATCCCAGTATGACCTTTTTTGATTTCGACGAAACGGGACCCACCCGTCGAGACATGGCCACCCACTAATCCGCTCCGAAACAGGAACCATTCAACTATCTACTAGATTCTCACTGGTGTTGGATACAGCCTTTGTTTAACTTTGTTTATCGTCCGGCTTTCACTCGTATGTGGCCCTCGTAGACCACTACTGCATTTTTGGATACTAAATGCTGAGTTGGTGTTATAGGTGATATGAAGATGAACGGCCCATACTTCTCGGAAATCCTCCTAAACGCTATTCTATCTCACTCGCTTAGGTGGTGCAGGGACGAACCGAAGATAGCTCGCATGCTTGACGCGTATGACGGTGGCCAACAATTCCGCCAGAGGGCGGTAACGGGTTTGTTTGAAGCTTTGAAGGGCGGTGATGGCCAGATTACGGTTGTTCAGACACTGCTCTTACTCAGCGCTCAGGAGTGTGGTCGTGGAAACCGGACTCAGGCATGGCTATACAGCGGAATGGCGTTTCGACTCGTAGAGGACTTGGGTATCACCATCGACAGCCGGAAGTACTCAGGTTCGGTACAATTCTCGGATGAAGACGTCGAGATTAGAAATCGACTTTTCTGGAGCTGTTACTTTTGGGACAAATTGGTGTCCCTATACTTTGGCCGATCCCCGATCATCCAGGATACTCCTGTCAGCCCACCCCGGATTTTATGTAGGTTTCATTCTCCTATCATGAGATCCTAAATTTCAAGCCACATCGCTAATTAGGAATATAAGTGGATGATACCGCCGAGATCGAGATATGGACACCCCATGGAGTGGTATTCCCCGAGGGCATGCATTATCCCCCGACACAGGCCCACTCGACGTCGTGCTTTATGAAGATGTGTTCGTTGGCGGAAATCCTCAACCAAATAATCATCCATATATATGATCCTGTCCGACAGAGCACGGAGGCTCAAATACAGGAATGTGTGGATAAACAGGGGGCCAATCTTGAAATTTGGTGGAATGAACTTCCACATTTCTTAAAGCTCATTCCTAATAACCTCCCTACATACTGCCCACCAAGTCATGTTGTGACTCTAAAGTAAGCTACCTGCCTTCCCCCAGCTTACCCACTCTCGTTTCAGAAGTATAGTGTACTGACTCTTGGCTAGTTGTATATATCATACGACAAATATTCTTCTACACCGCCCTATGCTCTGTTCCAGGCCATTCAGGGCCAAAAATGCCGCCAGCAATGCTAACCACTTGGTCCAATGCCTTTCATCGGCATCCTCCAACATATCTCTTTATGATCTCTTCAGACGAACTTTTGGCGATAGTCATGTCGTCTTATCCCTTGCATATAGCTTATATACCGCAGCTTCTATCTTCATTCTCGAAATTCAAGCATTGAAATATGCTTCTCCTTCAACGCTAGAAAAGCTTAGATATTGCATCCTAGCGCTGGAACGTGTCAAGGCTGCTAATCCAGGTAACTTCCTTCCAGAAGGCGAAGACCTTATAAACCATAACATCGGCTAATTAGCTTGGTTATAGTTATAAATACTGCGCTTGGATTAATCGAGAAAGAACTCAAGAAACTCCGCATCAACATATTTGATACACCGACGAACGCAGACCAACCAACCATCCCTGCTTTATCCCCTCAGACTACCACATCATCACCTCCCGCCTCTCTAGATCCCTTACATAGTCAGCACATATATACTCTGCCACCCCACGGTGCGTTTAGCATTACGCCTCCTCCAGCAGACACGCAACAGGCACATCAGCAGCGGCGCCAGCCCCTACCAAACCAACCCCCTTTCATGATGGATACGCCGCCGCTACCTGACCCGCCAGATTTTATTGCTCAAGATCGAATATATGACATTGCACCTGAACTTTTTGAAGCCTTCTCATATACAGAACCTACTACCCCAGGTGGTGTTGGGGCAGGCTTTGACACCACGAACTGGGCCGGAACTGGGCCAACAAGTTAGAGTAGATTACCTAACGCTTGCCATGTTACCCCTATATTTGATTCTTGTTTCCCATTTTTTTTTATTTCATATAAAGGAAAAGAGATTACGGCATTTTGATTTCTTTCTGCATATATGTGATGATAGTTTTGGCGTTGCTTCCTTTTCTTAGATAGGTTTGCGGTCATTTGGACTTAACATATGCGATCAATCCTTCATACCAACAGTATTCAACCCCTTTACCGTGTTTCATCGCTTTCCATAAATCCATCATTATTCAACCGGATATAATCTTCCCGCTGTCGAGGCTGATAGTTAACTACTCACGTGATAGTAGTTAACTATACATTTATTCCACATCAAAGACTCGAAATTGTACGTCTTGACGTGCACATCATGAATGTCTATCGGCTTCGCAGCCTGCGCTCTTACCGATCAGCTATCTTGAATCAGTTTACTAGACCTAAAATCCTACGACACCGAACCATGAGCACTTTGCCCAAACTCCCTCCATCGTCATGGGACAGCCACATGCACATTGTCAACCCAGAGAAATACCCCCTTGCACCAGATGCGGTATACGTACCCCCTATTCATACGTTATCCGACGCGATGGCTTTCGAATCTGCAGTTGGTATCCGAAACATTGTCTTGGTCCAGCCATCTATATACGGGTTTGACAATTCATGTATGCTTGATGGACTGAAGGAGCTAGGCCCTAGCCAGGGTCGGGCGGTGGTCTCGTTAGATCCAACCAACCCACCCCCTGAAGATACCCTACGATCATGGCACCGATGGGGCGTACGTGGAGTGAGACTTAACCTGCAGTCTACTGGCAGGGAATTGAGTGCTGAAGAGCTGAAAGCGGTTATGCACAAGTACGCAGATATAATTCGCCCATATGGTTGGGTTTTGCAGCTATATATCGCCCTCCAATATCTCCCGCTCCTGGTCGACATTGTGCCAGGTTTAGGAGTCAAAGTGTGCCTTGACCATTTTGGAAGCCCAAATCTACCTGCTTCTGTTCCTACCTCTGGGACTGGCCATTCAGCAGATTTCGATCCGTACTCCCTCCCTGGCTTTGCGGAAATGATCCAACTGTTAAAGGGTGGTCATACATATGTTAAGATATCCGCTGCATATCGGCTTACTAGCAACCCTCAGTTCGACGGCTTGCGAGAGATGTTCATGGAGTATATGCGTGTGGCCCCTGGTCGGATTGTGTTTGCTACAGACTGGCCGCATACAAGATTCGATTCGGTGGACGTTGTCCCGTTCATCAAAGCTTGTGTCGACTGGTGTGATGGAGACCAGAGTATGATCCAGAAGTTATTTCAACGTAATTCTGAGGAGCTTTGGGATGTCGAGGCTGTAAATACGTCGTGAAATTGCTGTTCTATCACCTATTTATTATACCCCATTATGATGAACCTACCAACCTCCAGATATACTTCATGAACATTACCATCCACCACATCCCAACAGTGTTGGAATATGAATTGAAATTTTCATTCATTGTTTAATGCAGGTTTAGACACAGGTGTTGATGACCCGCTTTTGGAATCCCGAGAAGGTCTTACAGCATCCCCTTTCATACTAAATATATATTCTGTTCCGATTTCCTTTTACCTCTGACATTCGCACCTAGTCCCGTAGCGTCCCACAATCGTATTCTCAGTGTTTGCGCGGAGCCTCTTCCTGGTCAACGAACATATACCCCTTTGCACGGCTATCACAGAAGTGAGTGGTATTGTCGGCCTGGGACCAGATCAGTTATCAGTAGGCTCACTTTACTTTCCAACATCAAACCGGAGGCAGTGAGGAAAACATACTAGAGGCTTGCAGCATTCAACAGGAGACTTATCTTCACAGCCTTCTTTTCTTGGAGCAAGGGTGCCTGTTGGATCCAGTTCATAATATCAGCTTGTGTGGCCTTTGGGGTGGTGGTATTAAAGAAGAAACGCCTTCAAGGCCAAACCATGAGGGTTTTTTTGGCGTACATCCAGTTCCAAATAGGCCTTTGGTGGCCTTGTCTTCATAATGTGTACAACAGTAGGCTTCCCTCTCGCTGGGACAAGTCCACACAGCGCTAGAAACGGGGGCAAGTGAAGATATAGCTACCAGGGCCATTGCGGCCATGTTCACCCCGTTGATGTGCATCGTTCTTAGCAACGATGGGATTCCCTGGACCCCCAAGTTGTCCGATTTCTAGGTAAACTGTTCGCTTTGTATCAACGGTAGCGGACTATAGTAGATCTGGTTGATACTTGCGCTTTTCTGGCTGCTGTAGCGAGGTTAGGGAATGAGAGCTACATATAAATATTTTCCCATCTTGGACGACAAACCATCCGGATGACAACCAAGCCGCTGAATCGCCATATCAACGAAATTCACCCACCCATAACACCGTCCTATGACCCCTTTTCTGCTTGTGATATCCCATGAACGGACATCATATACCATGTTGGATGTTAACCTGAAACGAAAGATAGCCACAAGTTACACGAATTGCGCAGTTTCATCTCACCGTACAGGAGGACATAAAACTACCACTCGCAACATCCCGTCAGCTGAAGGCTATCACAAGGCTAATGCCAGCTAGGATTGCAATCGTGGTATAATACTCCCGTGGTTAAGGCCTAGTACGGCTCTCCAGGTCGGCCAGATTCATCGTTAACACGAAGCAACATAGCCTTATATTGGGATGTTGTCCAGGGGGGAATCAATGCAGAACAAACTATGAAGGTATTGAACTAGACCTTATATTGATGCTGCGTTGAAGTTACTATAATTACCGTTAAATTTATTCTTTTTTCTAGATCGTGAACCGGAACCGGGGATCGTCATCGCCCATATTTCCCAAGATGCTCTCATCCAGCTGAAGCCTGTCGTCACGCTTACCTTGCTCTCTCAGCCTATTTTCACGCAGGAGTCCAAGTGCGAGGACAATGCTGGCAATGCCGCACATAATAAGAGTAGCCAAACAAACACCATATCCAACAAAGTACCGTGGTGCATCTTTCGGAACAAAAATGTTGCTTGCAATCAGGCCACCCAAGTTTCCGACCCCTATCTGGATTGCCAAACCAATGGCTCGTTTATAATGGCCCCCCAGGTTATTCGCAAACCAAACGATAGTCACGGGTTGCACAATATAGCACCCTACACTGACGAAAAAGACGGCCATATATCGAACACCGTCGGACAGTCCGCCGCCGACGGGGCCTTGATAAAGAAGGATAATATATCCAATACTCCCAAAGATAACCCCAAAGACGATAAATCCCAACCGGTGTTTCAGGCGGTCAGCCAGGTACGAAACAGCGAGGGTGATGAAAGCAGTCACAAGCCATACCGGAATACTATGGATCTGGCTTTGAATCCCAGAATACCCAAGTGACTTCACAATTGTTGGAATGAAGAGGGCAGTAGCATACCCAGATACGGTAATGTTGATATAAATGAATGTACCGACATAAAGTTTCCAATCGGTCAGGATCCTTTTCCATGCAGTGATGTCAAGCCTATCCATGCGGGCTCCTCCAACATCTTGACTGCTGCGAGTGTGCATCATCTTCTTTTCTTCACTGGTCAAGAACTTTGCCTGCTCCGGCCAGTCGGCAATAAAGAACTTTGCAGGGCCTGCAAGAACGATCGAAAAGAGCCCCTCCAGGATGAAAATCCATCTCCAGCCAGAATATCCTCCTAGCCCTTCCATATGATCAATAGCATATGCTAAAAGGCCTCCAAAGGCGCCTGCGAGCAAGCCTGCTACCCAAAAGAGAGAAAGTCGTTTCTGGAACTCATGGCGCTTGTAGTATGTGGCCATTAAGTATGCACAACCAGGGACAAAGCCCGCTTCGAAGACACCGATGAAAAAGCGACAAACAATAAGATCGCCATTGTTCCTGACAAAGCCTTGACACATGGACGAAACGCCTGGAGGGACAATTGTTCAGTCAACATGCTTCATTGATCAAGAGTAGGCTAATAATACGCACCCCACAAGAAGGTGAGCATACTGATCCAAGTGGACGGGGCAAATTTCTTCAGTAAAATATTGCTCGGGATGTCCATCAGGACGTACGGCACGAAAAATACCTGTACGGCAATGTTGAAATCATTCCCCTTGAGTTTCAATTCATCCATTATCCCTAAGACGGCGACATTTCCAAGGTTGATGCGATCGAGAAATCCAAACACGAAAAGGATCCATAGCGGAATCATCAGATTGATATCAACCTTACGCATCATCCTTTTCTCTACCTGAGGCGACAGGCTTCCTTCTTCCACTGGGCTGCATTCTGAGTCGGATCTTTCGGCGCCATTTACTTGAGGGCTTGCCTTCTCCCCTATTTCTAGGTCTGCCATATCTTTCCGTGCCATATACCGCGGGCAGCTAATGAAATTAAAGAAACACCGTCCGACACTCGAAAATGCAAGACCGAGGAGAAAGGGAAAAGAGGGAAGAGAATAGGCTTGACAGAAACCATTTTCATTTAAGTAGGTGACTTCGATGCAGCTAGGCCATGCAGATTTTTATTTAACCTAGCATGCAGAGCGCAGAGCGCAGAGTACAAAGTACAAATATACCAACTACTCGGGCAATATGGTAGCATTGCATGTAAGGAGACGGCAGCACCCATGTCTAACCTGCAGTGGCCAAATGAATATCGCATCTAGCACAATGGATTGTGTTAATGCTGTGGGTATGCACCCGCCCCTAGGGTAATTAATCCACGAGAAGGATGAATCCAGTTGCTGCCATCAAAGATGGACGGACTGTCTGTGCAATTAACCTGAAGGAAACAGGTTTGTGGGGGGACCCAAAACCCAGATAGCAGAACACGCTTAATGGATCGCATATAACAAGGTACTAGGCTGAACACGAGAAAACCAGTCAGAGTCCTATCGGATCCCGCGTTCGCCATTCGTCATATCAGGACCTCCTCCTATATATGGACATAGTATGGAGCAGTTATCGAAGTCCTTTCCGTACAAGTCGTCTAATCAGCATATTATATCTATATTCAAGCAGTTCTGTGCAGCATTCGAAAGTGTTTCAGATCTGCCTCCCTTCCCGATTTATATTTCGTAAGAGAAATACTTCCGCAAACCCTTGCTTTCAGCCCTTGAAAAGAAACAGAAACCAATCACATATCCCTGCAAACTCAGAAACCCCATCCTGGGTCAACTGATAACAATTGGTTCTGCTCCCATAGCCAGCGCGAATACCAAGAGTGGCTAGATGATGGCCGTGCAAGGAGCTGCTCACTATATGCAGGGTTGGTTATATGAAGAACCTGGCAATAGCCAGCAAACTGCGCTTGGAGGCGCACATAACTAGTTATTCACGCAAGAATCCAGAATATATACCTCCCCTATGTGTCAAAAGGGCCAAAGGATTCTCCGAGAATACTAGAGGATGAGGGGTTCCAAGCTATTGCAACAATGCAGGCTAGGTGCGAAATATAGTACCTTGATATACTATGTACTTCCCCATTGACAGCTGCCAATTCAGCCAGAGGAGCAGGGTTACTGGTAAAAGAATCCTCTTCAGACCCCATGCATGCCAATTATGTTGGTCGAAAATTCGCTCTCAGCACACTCCCTGTACGTTCATCCTAGAATAACGGCATGGATTAGTGACAGCACCACCCATACACTGCCCTCTCTTCCAGCCAAAATCCCAATGTGCGTTTTGACTTAGCGTGGGATAAAGTCGAGGGATAGTTAAACCCCTGCTAACCATCTTTATACAGTCCCTGCGGGATTGTCATGACTACTACCTTCTTTCTTTGAGTCTAGTATCGACAATCCTGCTGAAGAGTTTACAAGCATAGCCATGGGCTTGATAATAACCCTTTACCATTCTACAACTGTTAACTATGCTCTCCATCCATTTATTTCCCCTTTTCTTTCCTTTGGCACGTTCTCCATAAATGAGTTAAATCGTTCCTCGTTTGTATCCTTTCTATGAGGCATCATGCCGCTGTTCAGCCATTATGGGGATGTTGAAGACATCTCTGATCGGCTAGCCATCCCAGCTTTGCTATTTTCTATCGTCACGCCATTGTTTATTATCGCGAGGATTGCTACCCGGAGGTACTATTCAAAGAAGCTTGGGCCTGATGACTGGGCAATACTTGCATCTCTGGTATATATGCGTGCATCTCTTCTTTGGCATATTATTCATGAAACATTTAACAAGGAACGGAACTTCGCTAAAATCCGGATTTCAGGTATTTGCAGAAACTATTTCTATTCAGATGGTCATTAGTAAGTTGTACTATGAGTGGCTCTGGGTAAACATCAACTGATATTTTAACAGTTTGCGGGTGGGCATTCGGCAAACATAAAGATGACATACCTCCAGATGTTCTCGCAAAATCTTTAAAGGTGTATACTTATCCTCAGATCACAAACAGATTCAAGAACATGTGCTAACCTTGCCTACACTTTAGTTGTACTACTTCGCCCAGATATTCTATAAAATAACCAGCGGCTTGACAAAGATTAGCGTTCTGCTTCTCTATCTCCAAGTGTTCATCTGCGCTTGGTTTAAAACGACATGTTGGACAGGAATCGCAGTTATTGTTGCGTTTACGGCCGGAACCGTGGTTTCTAGTATATTCCAGTGCAATCCACTCCCGTATGCATTCGACAAAAAGACTCCGGGTGCTGGAACATGTATCAACGTGGCCGCGTTTTGGTTTGCAAATGCGTCGTTCATTATAGTAACCGACGTATTTATAGTACTGCTTCCTATTCCCGTTATCCTTCGACTACAACTGCCAGGCAGGAGTAAGGTGGCTCTTTGCGGAGTGTTTGCTCTTGGACTATTGTGGGTGTCACCAGCTCCTATATCCTCGTTTCCATACTCGGCCTCCTATATTTCTTCAACCATTGAATACTAACAGTTTGAATGTAGTGTTTGCGTAACATCAGTTCTGCGTATCACCACCATTGACGTTGCTACGTCCCATCTTGACACACCCTGGACAAACATAAACTCCTCAGTGTGGACGGTAATCGAGTATAATCTGGCAATTATATGCGCTTGCATGCCACCGCTCTGGAGACCAATCTCGATAATCATTCCCAGCGTCCTAGAACGTTTCATCAAATCCCGCTATTGGCCTAGCAAGAACAATAGTGGTCAGGGTCACAGCAGTGGGCCGTCGATCATCGGTGCCGCTATGAGAGTGGACCAATCCGATATGTACTTTGGCAGGCCATGGTCTCCATTGCCCTCGAATGCTGTACCTTCGAATAAAGCCAGGTCGAGGCACCCCAGCACCTCCGCCAGCATAGGGATTGGGAAACTGGAACTCGACCAAGAGGCACAGGACCGGATGGACTCCATGATGGAGAAGGATAGTGATTTGGAAAAACACGGCATTCGAATGACCACCCAAGTAGTGGTTAAGTATGATGAAGTAAGCGAACAAGGAGAGTCCTCGGACCAGCGATCGGCAGATATAGAATTAAGACATGTTGAAATTGGTACACGGTAGTGTGAAGATATTGGGGTGGGATTATGCACTTTTTGATATATATTTTAAAGATCAATGGCGTTCCAAGGAGCAATGAGGCTATAATGATACCCTGAATGTTACTTACTGTATACTTACTCTCCATCATTGTTCTTGTAGCTTCTATTAGATGAATTTGTTCCAGATTCAGATTTGTTTTGTTGAACAAATGTTTCATGGTAATCGGGGCATTTATCAGACCAGACTACCTCTCTAATAAAGGTACAAGAGAGCCCAGGCCCCAACTCGTTTTTTTAGTTCTCGAGTTTAAATGGATGACCCACATATCTTAATTCAATCATCATGTATAAGTAAATATAGTAAGGGGCACATATATCCAAGGCCCCCTCAGAAGGGGCTACCTCACGGTTGTTAAGGGAATACGTATTTGGCGTATCTTGCTTCCTAATTACGATGTTTATCCTTGCAGGAGGATATATAGAAAGGCAGCATGGCTGATTCACCCAACAGTTTGTACGAGAACTTGATCTTGAACAATACAAAGTTCATCAGAGATATTATACAAGGCCCAAGGCCTTCCTACTCTTCTAAAAGAGGGTCTAGAGATGGATATTTCATAACACTATCTAGAGCTTGATCCATTCATTTGTCAGTACCACCCTTCATATGTGGAGGAAAATGAAACCTATAGTTTGCAGCAACATAACTCTTTTTAACGTATGATGGATACTCTCTTCAACCTAACGAGCTTCAGAGTGCCATAAATATTCCTACATATAATACGTTCTTGTTATCATCTACATGGCGATGGCTTAAGTTTGGCCAAGCTTTCTTATCTAATCTAGATCTTTATGCACATCTTGCACATCTTGTTGCATATTTTAATGCAAAGCGTTCGGGTAAAAAAACGTCAACTATAAATAACTTCAACTTTGGCCACAGGTTCGGTCGATTGAACTTCCCTTTCACAAGCTCCAACCCCAGTGTATTGTTGACGATGCCGTTCCCCGCTGGAGGCAAGATGCACATTATCTCTCAGATCCTCGAACGCTACCCGAAAGCAGCAACAATTGCTGCTTCGGTCCTCGTTTTCGTAGGCACACCAGCTGCTTTTCTCCTATACCAGCACAGCCGACTTGGCCGCAAAGTCCACCACTCCGCTTCAACGGGCACCCTAGCAAATCTACCGCTCCAGGATATCAAGTCAATACCAGAATCTGCCCTAGACAAGGATGCTTCAAGCCATACTCGCGCACTTTACGACATAGCTTCTCTCTCTACTGCCAGCATCAATATATGTCCATCACTTGCTGAAGATATGATACTCACCCGGTACTTACGACGAAATATGACTGCATTTTCGCGCATGCCTCAAGCCTATGCATTGAGCCTCACCTGTGATAAGCATGCCCGCAAAAGCTTCCAGGCATCCCATATCCAGAGGCTTAATTTCGAACCAGGAGATATTGTCTGTGGCGGATATAGAGTTGTGCTCCGAGAAGAAAATAGGGTCGAATTTGCTATGGAACTAAACCACATTAGCGGTCGATTGGTGACTACCTTTGATAGAAAGGAAAATCAAATCACCTTTACGACACAGACATTGATGTGGCAACCTAGCAATATCAAAGCGCCAATGCCCTTGGAAAATCCGATTCTAAAATTTGCACACGAAATAACAGCTTGGTGGATGTTGGAAGCCGGCCTCTTGTATATCACAGACTATACCCCTATGTGAACCATTGTAAATAGAAACCGCCCGCACTCTACCCGGCGTATTATTATGTGTTTCTTTAAGTACTGTTTAATCGCGTATCTGTATATCCAGTAGTCCAAACTCTCAATAGGTTCTGATCATATCCTTTCTCTGTTTACCTCTACCTAGCTAGCCAGATACCTCAGGAGGCTGGAGGCTATTTATAGAGCGGATTCCGGGGTAAACTTAGTCCGATATTTGCAATGTTTGTTTTGTTTGTCTTGACATTATTTTCAAAACTTCCAAAAGGTGAAACGGCGAGAGAAGGAGAACCAACTTCAATTCCAAGATAGATAAGTGGAGGGCGCATTCAGTGACCGTCTGCACTTAGTTATAATCTGCAGCCAACAGCGCGCAATCACTACTCGGCACGCACCCGCCCGCAAGGTGGAATCTAAAGATACTAATAATGTCTGAAGAGGCTGGGGGATGGAGCACCATCGAGTCAGACGAGGTTTGTTACCTGTCAATCTAGGGTTGCGTATCGCATACTCACAGTTTAATGTTAGGGAGTGTTTACTGCACTGGTAGAAAACCTGGGTGTCCAGGACGTACAATTTGAGGAATTAGTATCTTTGGACGCAGACACAATACGCTCGCTAAGGTACCCAAACTATATCCGGTTGACCCCAAAGATATATTTCCTTACTAATTTCATGCCTATAGCCCTGTATATGGTGTAATATTCCTGTTCAAATGGATCAGCGGACAATCACGAAGTACTTCCAGCCCACAGGATGGAGAATTTGACCCTCTAGCGGTTGAGAATGGCCTCTTCTTTGCCGCCCAGACGATACAAAATGCCTGCGGCACACAAGCAGTATTATCTGTTATCTTGAACCAAGACAACCCGTCGACATCTGCAAGTGGAATCGATATTGGCTCTGAGCTGCGTTCCTTTAAAGAGTTTACCACTGGGTTCCCTCCTGATCTCAGAGGCGAGACCTTGAGCAATTCGGCTCGCATTCGCAACGCACATAATCTGTTCGCCCGCTCTTCGCCCTTTGTCGACGAAACATCTCGTCCACCCCCATCCGAAGAAGATTCAGAGCTATACCATTTTATTGCCTACCTTCCATTCAATGGGAAATTGTACGAGCTGGATGGACTGCAGCCACATCCGATAACCCATGGGCTCTGTAGCTCTGAGGAATTCCCCGAAAAGGTTATCGAAGTCCTTCAACGGCGAATTGGGCGGTACCCCGAAGGCGAGATTCGATTTAATCTCATGGCCGTCGTGAGGGACCTGCGGATAAGCGCGCAAGAGATTGGAGATGAAGAAATGTTGGATAGAGAGAAGAGGAAGAGAGCAAATTGGGCTTGGGAGAACTCGCTGAGAAAGTGTAACTTTATCGACTTCACCGGACAGCTTCTGAAGGGAGTCGTGGATATGAAACTTAAGCAAGGAGTAGAGGAATATGACAAGTGGATAGAAGATGCAAAGAAAGCATCCAGCAAACGAGCAGAAATGAGGGGGACAAATCGCCCTGGGTAGTGGTATCTGCCAACCATCATATATAGGATCTATAATGCAAGACAATTTCAGCAAAGCAAGCATCTCATAATCCTACACTGAATCAAAGGAAGCATCATAGAAGATGTTGTATTGAAAAGGGATGTAATCTCCCAAAGTGAAGGTTATATAAAAATATGTAAATATGTAAACATTAATATATATATATATATATAGGTTGAAGAATTGAAGAGCCCCAATCTAAACTGTAAAACCAAGAAACCCCCTGAGTAAAAGATGAACCGGTATAAAAACGCTGTACAATTAGGAAGAGGAGGAAAAGTGATAAACACATGGAACTTCTTTGCCAAATGCTCTTGTCATTGGATGACAAGCCTATGATTCCCAGTCATCCCCTGGCCCTTTTATATGTATACCCCGTCACACTGTCTCGGATAAGTCGTCAAATCATCGAATATGGAATGGCAAGAAATAACAAGGGTATTATGGCGAAAGCAAGTCTAGATTGTATTTGCCGGTCTCGGTGCGGAGGTAGGAGGTGTAGCAGAGGTGGTGGAAGAACTGGCGCGATGTTGGTGTTGAAGATGGAGGTGGTGCCTGGATATTCCCAAGAGGAAAGAAGTAAGAACATGAACCTCAGCCGGACCGTTATTTTCTCCTTTATTCATAGGAGTATGGTGGAAGAGCGGATGGAAAATGTATGAATAATAGCCAAGCGATCGAAAAGAAAAAGGGAAGGGAAGTAAAAATGTTTGTACAAGAAGTGGGAATAGGGGGAGGGCAGGGGTTGTTGTAAATTTTTTTTTAATATTTTTATTTTCTGGGAGATTACATTCGATTTAGGGGGTGTGGTCAGGTTGCGCTTTATATTGAATGGGCTGGGGGTATGCTTGTGATTGTGCAGATAGGGCTTGATAACGTAGATGGGTAGATATCTAGTTATCAAGTCCAGCAGAGTTCCGGAGCGACCAACCCTCCTGTCACATTAACTGGGGGGGAATCATGGTAATCCGCCCCGATTGTCGGGCCCCCGTTAATAAGATTTCCCAGATAAGCGGGATTGAACATTGCGGGCTGTTCGGGCTGTTTATATTCGGGAATGCGATCCTCTACCGGATCATGGTGAAGTGTGGGAGATGGGTATACTTGTGAGTGGCGACGTGAGTGAAGCATCGCGTTCGACATCTGGTATGGCGAACCGACGATTGCTGGTGTCATAGGTGAGTGGAGCGGCGATGTGGTATATGCAGGGTATGCAGCGGTGGTAGGACTGACGATGGCTGCGGAAGTAGATGGTAGGTTAGGCAGATGTGGAGTTGGAAGCGCATGATGATATGGACTATGCGATCCTGTAGGATATCCGTCGAAGGATGACCTTGGCGACCATTGAAGACGGCTGCGGTACTCGGCCACAGTTTCGGCTGGGAGATCCATCAGGCTTAGGGCGAGCTGGATCTCAGGCGCAAACGGATTAGTTGCTCGTCTGTGGTACAAAATTCTTCTGATCTCCTCGATTGGATTGACCGCCATGGAGCCGAGATATGAACCACCAAATTCGGGGAAAAGAGGTTCCAAAGCAAGTGCAACGCCAAAAAACTGAGACAGCACGGCGAGAGCCCCTAGATCTGCTTCTCCACCTCGCAGCATCGCCGATGGGAGCCAGAAAAGCCAGATTCGTAGCGGCTGAAGCCTTTCAAATGCCTTCTCTGGTGACTGGACGGGAAGCTCATCTCTCAATCGCTGAGTGAAGGCGAGCAGATCAGTTACTCTGCGGAAATGTTCTTGGTTATGAGAGATTCGCTGGTGGATGTTTTGTAGGTTGACAATAACTCTATCCAGCCTCATTATATCTTCATTCTGGAAATGAGCCAACGTTCCTGGGTATGTTGGCGTCAGGGGGGTTCGAGCACTTCGGAAAGCTCGCTGACCGTCCATAAACCTAGCCAGTTCTGATTCTTCCTTCCACCAAGGTTCCATAGAATTTAAAACCTATAAAAGATATCTCGTTAAAATCTTCCATCACAGCGATAATAGTAGATATGGGGGATGAGTGAAAATTATCTTACTGTTGAAACGCCTTGTTGCAGGGAAGCCCAACCTCTCCTATGATAAAAACGTTAGTGATCACACCAAACATACGAGGGATATACGTTCGATAGTATTATTGACTTACCATTCGGTGGACTGCCATGATAAGAGCAAAGATGAGGCGAGGATAGCATCCGAGTTCTCTCGCGAGAACGAACTTATAGCCTCTTGAAGACCCTTGATCGCAACGCCTCGATGGTGGTAAGCAAGGTTCTCGGTATCTTGATTCTGAGTCATCCAGGCAATGTGAGAAGCAGAGAGTGCCAGAATAGAACTCATAACAAAGTCATTAGACAAGGCAATGGTAAGGAATCTGTAAGTATGTTAGAGGACCGTAAATGCGGTGCTTTTTTAAGCCATGGATAAACATACATAGGCATCTTCTGGGCCCATACGGTACAATTGCTGTAGCCTCTTCGGTGAAGGTCAATGGATAGACCTGCAATATGGTGAATGAGCCGTAGATCCGTTCGTGAAAATTTATACCAATAAGCCCGTGAGCTAAGCTGTAGCTCAGGGAAAGGAGGGTTCCCAGACTTCTGCCAGTTCTGGATCTCTAGTTCAATTTCCGGAGACATGAGAAGATCCGGACTTCTGGCATTGTTGGCAGAATCATGAGCGAGGACATTATCCATATAATCACATCTGCAGTTGTGCTTGGTGCAGTTTCGGCTAAATTCCACCAGTCAGCCTCACCATGAAACCTGAAGAGACAAGTTCATGACTTACCATTGTGGCATGGTCTCATCACATCGTATATGTCGTCTCTTGCATGTCTTGCATCCCTTTCTTGACTTTGTATGGCTCTTACGAGGAGGTCCGCCACCAGGTCCAGCCATTGTGAAATAGATTAAGAAAGGATTGACGGGTGAAGATGGCTGGTTAGTCGGTAGTGGAAGTGGATGGGGTGATTGAAGAAGGTACAAGGACTCGAGAGGGGAGGTTGAATCAAAGTATATAAAGATGGGTAGGGAATACGAGATATATGGTCGTTGAGATGAATAATTTCAAAAATAAAAATAAAATAAAATAAAAGGGGGGGCGAGTATAAAAATAGTAACAGGGCTGTAGTGATAGAGGGGGACACGGAACGGGCTGATTAGATCTCTGGGTCGGATCAAATTGTGTCACAGGCGTGCCTTCAGGTTGTCTTTCGAATATTGCGTGGGCCTTATGCTTCTCGCCGCTGCCGCCAGAGATGTCCGTAGGGAAGCTCCAAAAGGGAAAACGGCCAAAATCGCAGTTGGTATTTCTCTTCCAACAAGCTGGTCCCCCGGATCCTCGGGTCCTGCTTGTTCCTTGAAGGCAAGATTCAGATCAGAAGGGGGTCTCTCTGCCAGGTATTTATGAGCAACTCCGATACAGCGTGGTATCTTGACCCTGCCGCTTATATATCAACGAGGTTTAAAACACGAGCTGGTGAGCAACGGCTGAGACGAGGTTAATTGGAAGAGATGAAGATGGAGATCGAAGAATGATAGATGCAAAACAAGGTATCCGTGTATGGATATATAATGAAGATAGGAAAGGGTGGAACACCACTCCCAAGCCCATAAAATAAGTGTCAAGGGTATCGGATGAATAGGGACCCTCTTTTTTTTTCTTCTGCTGAATGATCCTGGTCAGGGTCAAGATATATACATCGGCATAGGGTATGAGAGCAAAAGCAAAAATGAAGAGTGAAAAAAAAAAAAGAAAGAGGGAGCAAGAGAAGAAGAAGAAGAAGAAGCAAAATAAAAACAAAAAGCAAGCTTGCAGAGTAAGAGAGAGGGAAAGCGGAGCAGACACAAGTCAGACGCAAGGGTGGGGAGCACGCTAGGTCGAGTTGGGCAATAGACCAGAGAAGAAGAGATCCAAAGCCAGGCTGGGGTGGAAAGACAAGGCAAGGAAAGGATGGGGAGGCGAAAGTATATCAGGCGGAAGAGTACATACGGTGATAACCAAGACGTTAAAACGTTTAGTACGTCTATAAAAAGGGGGGTGGAAGAGGAAAAACCCAGGTAGTTCGGGCGGCGGGAACGACCATTGGAGGGAAATAAAGATAGGGAGGATCACAGTGGCAGGGGATGGTGTCTGTCATTGTGGTTAAGACCATGATTATCACTGTGAATAAACATGGTAACATGGGAGCCACGGAATTTGAATTAAGATTTAAGCCAGATGGAATCAGTATGGGGGATGGATCCAAGAAGAGACGGAGAAGTTGTGCTAAACAGGCGTTTGGCTGAGAAGGCGGACAAGGATTCCGCCATCCTTCTGCGCCCAAAGGCATGCGCTTGCTTAGTTACCATGTGGCATAAGCCAAATCTGTTACATGGTAAAGTTGATATACATGGCAAGAACAAAAAAGAAAAAGGTCAGGAAAAAGAAAGGAGGTAGTATAAGGTATGTTGTTGTAAAAAGCAAAAAGAAAAAGGAAAATGTGCAAAAGAAAAGAAAAAGAAGTCCAGGGGGAATTTAGTGACGGCGTATGAACGGAGAACATGGAGTACAAAATGGGAAAAATACCGATACCGACCGGCTGGCCGACCATGGTCAGCTGGCTTGCTGTATTGCATGGTTGGCTTAGGGATGGATCCTAGACGGGTGAAAAAGAAAGGCCGATCTGGCAAGGAAAATGAACCCTGGGTCTGTCAGCTCAGGAGCTGGGCAAAAAGGGCAAAATAAGCACAACAGCAAAAGTGCCCATTTTGTGGACATAGATCTCATATCGGCGTGGAGAACAGATCTCGACCACACTGCCGGCTATGGGGAGAGAGTAATTAGTACGAAACGAGAAGGTGGGAAAAGAGACAGAGTTCAGCACCGGCGAGTCGGGAAGATTCAACTCCAGCGGGAGCGAAGTAAAGCAGATAAAAAAAAAAGTCAAGTCTCCCCGCTCTTCACCCCAAAAAAAGGTCCATATCGTTTTCAGAAAAGAAAGAGAGGGATGAACCGCTGGAAAGTCAAGATGAGGGTAGAAGCTTCTGCTACCTTGGGCGCACGGCCAGTCTCAACCCGCGCTCTTACTAGCCATGTATTAGCGACGTAATTTAGCGTTACCTCAAACTTGAAACTTCAAACATGATGAACGCTGGTAGCGGCTCTTGGGGATGTTAGCAGGCAATCCCAGCCTTAGTTGATGAGCATCCGCTAGTGTGACGGACCAGACAAGTTGAGGTTGAAGAAGCCTTGTGAACGCCTGTCAAAGCAGACGCCTAATTGATCTGCGTCTTCGCTCCATCAAACACTCAAGAGAGCTCTCGCAATGGCCAAGGCAACGTCTGCCCCCCCTTTTTTTTCTCGTCGAGGTGCCAGTCAATCAGCAGGGGAATTTAAAAATAGACAGGAAATTATCCGTCGTTTCACATATATATGTATATGCAGTGTAGAGATTACAAAAATCAACAAGAGAGAAGGAGAACTGCATGAACAGAGATGAACATTACCCATCACCATGAACATCCCAGCACACCGCATAAACCTCTCGACCAGGCAGGGTTTGCACGGGACGGGCCCTTCAAGGCCTTCCGATGAAGTTTCCACCCTCTATTGATTACTTGGTCTTCATCATAAAGCCCGAGAAAGGAACCAGGTATGTTGCGGTTAGCAGCTTATAACTAGTAAATACATGATGTTGTTTGTATCTTCGTGAAGGGAGAAACTTGATAGCAGGTCGTCAAAACAAACCCACTGCTGCTGACTAATCCTGCCTCTTTCGGAAGTCGACATGTTCCAACTTCAAACGACTTCAACAACAACAAAAAGCATGCCATTTCTTTTCTCTCTTCTCACCCAGAAGCCAGAAAGAGAGGGGGAGAGAGAGGAACGGGTGAAGTGACGAGAGAAGAGAAAAAAAAAAAGCAATGCAAAGAGAGAAAACAAAACAAGGTGGCTAGTTTGCGGGTAAGCCTGCCCATCAGATGATATCTATCTCCCTCCAGGGAGAAGACCATCCCTGCTCCCTAGCCGCTTAGCTAGCGCAAAATTTTCAAGTTTAAGGTGTTTCAGGTTTGCGTGAGGGAACTATTATTATCCCCAGGACCTTGTCCGTCGCGAAACGAGACTGTGCGACAGCTCCGTGGCAACTAAAGATCCATCGTCCCGCCCCTCCCAACACCGGCTTGACCAAGTCAACTGCTTGAGCTTGAGATATCCGCGGCTAGCACAAGCAAGAATAAGCGAATCGACCCGTGGGATTGGATCTTGCGGAACGAGGAGGAACGCGGGAGCGCGAGGGTTCCGGTACAGCGAATGTTGGGTCGAATCATTCCTCTCTTGTGACAATCCCTATACACACATACATGGCTATTCCCTGCCACGCGATAAGAAATCATTTGTAGTGGACATTTCGCTACTGTCGATCCCTCTGCGGAAGGCGATAACAAAAAGCGTTTTCAACGAAAAGGCAACAAAGAAACATTTTGTAACGGATGCCCGCTGATACTCCCAAGAGCTGCGATGCCTTTCTTTTCTTTTCCACAAAGTCCCCTTGCATCGTCTCCAGCACGGGAAAAAAAAAAAAAAAAAAAAAAATAAGATTTGGCCTGTTGCTTTGTTAGCGGCCGTCGTTTACCTGATCTGGAAATTGCTATACGAGCTGTGATTGATTTGTAAACTGCAAACTTGCCGGATAGGGAAAGTTTAAGACCTCTGGGCTACTCAATGATTGGATTATTTCTTTCAATACATCGGCCTAGTATCGACCATCTATACTTACTTACATATATCTCGCAGGTTTTCTCTTTAGTCTGTTCTTTGGGCGAAAGTGCATCTTGACAAGGGAGAGAGATGACCGATTCCAAGGCCGGAGTGATTCATACCGAGCAGGCAACACAGTGACAAAATATTCCATGCAATAAAAAGAAAAAACATCATACATGCATGGGTTTCTCGGATGTACGCCAAGCCTAGTGTCAGCCGCTGTTGGCCAATCGATTCTTCGCGATACCGCCCAAGCGACGCTGGCCTGCTCAGAGCGGCGGTGAAAATTGACAGATTTGGCTCCTAGTTACGACGAAAAAAATAAGGATGGCTGCATAATTTCAGCTTGGTTGCGTAAGTATCAATGCCGGTGACCCGGCAGATATCACATCGCTCCGCGTTCCATCACAATTGCAGTGACACTTTGATACTGAGCATACGGCTCCTTCTATCATCAACAATGATTGTTGACGCCTATCACGCATTCTCGAGCGTGGAGTACAAAAGTTCCAAGGAAGATCTTCATATACGAAGAAGAAGCTTTTAGAAGATTTTCCCCTTTTCCATAAATGCTCCTTCACGGGAAATTCCCCTTGAGGAGTACTATCGTATTTCAACTGTCTCCCCGCGTCTTTATTTGCACCACCTGCATTGGCGGCCAGCGACAAAAATAACAGCCCAAACGAAAAATCCAGCCACGTTGTCAACTTAATTTCTAACCACTTCTTTTCTCATTTGTCCCTCTAACAAAGTGGGATACCACGTTTCTATGTATATCATTCGCGTGTCAACAAAAGGCGATGCACACGTGGATTATCAACTCCGTTAATATAGCCCGTATGGGATATAAACCAATAAACCAGGCTTTTGACCTAGACCAACCGGAAAGGTATATTTCATATACTGTAATAAAGAATAGATTTTTACTTACTTACATCGTCCATCAGATCTGCTCCTTACGCGATAGATGCATGCTTGACCATGGATGGTTTTCATGAATAAGTCAGCTCCAAAAATAATGATCCCCCGAACAGGACGCATGTGAAATGTATGGAATGTGAAGGCTGGATAGCCGACTCGGTCGGTTGAGGGGAATTAGGGCCCTTGAACGGCTTTTGCCTTGGCCCATCCAGTGACAGACCGCGTTACATACTATACGCTTCATTCACACTCGGCATAAACTTACCTCCGCCTTGTACAGACCGTGCGTGGGAGCCAGAGAAGACACCATACTGCAGACCAATAAAACGAAGGCGGAGTTATGATGGTGGAGATTGACTTCAAAAAGCTGATACTTATACGTTGCACAGGTAAGCCACCACTCAGCCAGCCCAGGCCCTCTTAATGGTCCTGAAATCTCCCAATACCATGGCGCTGTGGACTCCTTGGGTGGTCCTCCCGCTCGTGCGGACTGGAGGTTGGTTGTTTGTTGGGAACCTGTGCTATTTATGACAGTCTGCGGCTCACCCCATCCAAGACTATTTTTATCTCCACAACGGCGGCCAGACACATCATAGCAGCTGGAGCACACAGGAGCATTTCCAACTTACAATCCTTCAACAGTAGATGCGGATAGATGATTGTGGACCTGGATACCTGCGCAAATATAAGGCAAGGGAGCCCTCTTTCCTTCATACTTTGTATACGAAGTATTCCTTAAATTTTCGAGACAATATTGATGTCTATCAAGAAAAAAATAAAAGGGGGCAACAAGAAGGGAAGGGGGGAGCCCTGCTCTGCCTTTCTTCAGCTTAAGATTCAACTAAGCTAAAGCCGGAAGCAGCTAGGCTAGCAGTGGTGTGGAGCTAAAACAACTCGAAATGATCAATTACTGACTCCAGGCCCGGAATGTTTTGCTTGATCAACTGCCTCAAGCAATCAGCAAATCTCTCGTCTGCTTGGATACCTATATTATCACCACTTAAGAGCCCTTCTTTCCTCAACATGTATAATCTGTTTTTGTTACATTACAACCTCGCTTCTTGTGGATGCAACCATCCAACGCCATGTGCGTCACCGATTTATTTTTAACATCAGCCTCCCTCCACAGAAAAATCTTCACCCGCATCCCTAGCCTTCCCTTATTTTGATACTTTTTGTAAAAAAAAAAAATCCAATCTAGGCTTGGCTAGCCACAGCAACTGCGTACCTTTTTTCCCTTGCCTTGCAGTACTGGTTGAAACGTTCTTACATCACAAACAGGGAAACAATACGCTGGGAGCCGTTTGGGGCTTTGAACAGCTACCAAAATCTCTGGCCACTGATCAACAATCGCAATTGTATAAGCAGTGAAGCTAGGAAAGTAAATATAAGGTGACGGTGTCTTATTTCTAAAAGCAAGCAACCAGTTCCGGTGAATAATTGCTGCCTGGGTTATAAGCTTGTATGATCTCCGCGTTCTCCGTGTTTCGTCAGCAATAAGTATGTATCCATCCCGTGTTGCACATCTACTCTATTACATAGATGTAGAGTACATACAACCTCATGGCACAAGTTCATCCTGCTAAGAATAGGTTTAGGGCATTATCGCATCTCCATGGCAGAAGAGCCTCCCTTCTCCACCTTTCACAACAGCCATAGTGTATTGACAGCTGCGAGGGCGCTGTGTCCTCACAATGCTCTGGTGGGCAAGGAGGCTGTAGCAATCTCTCATTGGCTGATCGCCTGGGCGCCCCTGCTTTCTTATTCTTCGAGCTGTACAGGCAGACTAGGATGTTGTTTAAGCCTGCAGGGCCATGGAGTATACATATATAGCACGAATAAGCACATTCTCACAGCAGTCCAAGCGAGGATGCACGACTTCTGTTCACCGTCTCAGCCAGGGGAAACTGTGCAACCTCAATATTATATACTTCGTCCGGAGAAAAACTCCAGATGTGATTGCATACCCCGTACATCCCCATGCGCTTCAATCGCCACGTTGGACAGCGTCATCTCTGCAATCAACACACCCCCTGCTCTGGCTTGATCATGGTTATGAGACCTCAGCCCACAAGTGGCTGACAGCAAAACTCTCCAATGACACATACTATATCATACAAACAACCTACTTCGAACCCTCCAACCCCGATGCAAGGCTCTCCCAATACTTACAAGTTCAAAAAAAAAAAAAAGTAATATATATCCATTGTGTGTGAGTTCTAGACGATCGGCAATCCAAATGAGCCTAAATAATGAAAAAAACAAGGCAGTAAGCGAAATGTTCTTTTTCAACGGGTGAGTTTACATACATAGCCCAGGAGAAACAGCCACTAATGCAGGAGAGGCGCGATGAAACTGGGAGGTTAGTCCTCGGGGAGATTTGTACCGGTTCAGAGAAGAAGCCGGGCCGACAAGGCGGCGTTCTGCCTTTCCGCCAGCGTCATGGAGTGCCCTGACTGGCCAGCAATAACGCCGCGGGTGAGCGGATGGGCGCGCAGAACGTTTCTTCTTTCAAGCGATTGCCCATCAACACACTACTATAATAGCCATTTTTAGACTATTATATTCATTACATACATATACATACATACACAGTAGTACATATTATATAATCGAGTACGGGGTGTGTGTATCGGTTAATTTTTCCTAAAAGGGCGAGCGCAGAACCACGCGATCGGCCGCTTGGCGCGTTCCGGAACACTGGATGAGGGAACAGCGGATCCTTGCCGGTTTTACCGAAGACCCACCTGGAGGTCGCTGGAAGAGGTTTAGTTCGCGGAAATACCGCCGCATTAACTTGGCTGCGGCGCTAGTCCAATAAGAGAAACGCTTGGTCAGCAACGGTCTATATTTAGTTTTTTATGGCTTATGTAAGCACTCGCCAATTTTTACCCTAGAAAACACATTCAGTTCGACGTTCTTCCATGCGTTGATTCCTGATATAATATACAAAATATGCTAGCAGGATAGTCATTACAGCCGTGGTACCAAGCGTGGGGTGAGCTATATACGTCCGTACTATGGTAAGTCGGCCGAGTTGAGTGCGGCCTCCAGGTTATTTGGAAGAATAGTCGAGTAACTAACTATATATCGACACAGGTGCAAGTTATGGTCCTCGGTACCACATGTCTATAAATACATATTAGTTGGGCTCTGTTCGCTCCCATCTTCCAGCTGGCAGGTAGCATTCCCCCAATGACCTGTTTTGGCTAGTCACTGCGCCAAGTGGGCTCCCTCGTCTACTCGATGAGGGAAACTCCCAGCGTGGTCCCTTGTGGATATGAACTCCCTATTACAAAGTACGCGAAACAACTAGATCGACAGAGCTGGTGCTTGACGACCCCTTCACTCTATTGACGGTGACAAACATCATCTTTACAGACAGCGATTCTATAGGGTAGACAGGGTCCCATACTAAGGCGTATCCTGCAGGGCGGTGGCTAAGCGTGAACCAAACTGTTCCTTCAAAGCAGATATCGCGATCCAATAGAACGTTTGCGCTGGGTTTGCTCCACCTGTATTACTATGAAGATGAGGAAGAACTGAACCTTCATCTCTCGCTGTTACTCATCTGCCCAACGACAACTTTTCGCTTACATGTGCAGAAGATGTTCGCTATATACTTGCTAATACACAATATGTCGAGGGCATACTCCCTTGGACCAGACAAGAATTTGAGTGCTCGAACTTCTCTTCTGGCTAAATTTGCAAGGGATGGAAAAGAAAAAAAAAAGAAAATGATAGGTTGCCAACTGGCATAAATCTGCAACTGCGTTCACGCTAGATGGTTTGTGCCTTTCATAGGTTGGCTGGGTAGCCTTCCCGCATGACGTATCGTTGCATACAAGAGCGACGCGCGAGGGTGGACGAGTGGATGACATCTCTCTCTTGTCACTCTGCCCTTTTTTACTTCTGCCTTATCTCAGTCCAAACACCAAGTATTTCCACTTTAGCCACTTCCATTCGGGATCGATTGATTTGGTATCAAGACCTTCGGCTCTCTCCGCTCGCTTCCGCCAAATACTTAAAGATATAGCAGGTCAGTCAACAATGCGGTGGAGTGGTGGCGTGGCTTGCCTTGGCCGATATTTTTTCTAGCATATAACCAGGCCTCCTTGAAAGCGATTTAATGCGTCTCTCCGCAGGTGAACAGACATCCACGGGTATGTAGAAGAACTATATGTTTACTTGGCAATTAAATTCTCGAACAGGCAATTGGTAAGGTACCGGATTATCCGGGGCTGAGCAAACCCCCACGAACGTTTCCTTCGAAAGCGAGACCGTGAGCTATGTTGTGTGTCAAACAGGCAGAGTCAGCCCCGGCCGCATGCGTCGTTTACAAGCTTTGCATAGACAGAAAACAGCATTGTAATCACCCGCACAACACGCTTGAATTATACCAAGAAGTCTGGCTCGCTTCGTCATCACGTTTGTGTGTTTGAGGAATGCATTGCGCCTTTCCTACTGTCCAGGCTTTGTACTCGCGGCCTCCTGCAGAGCTGAAAGAACAGCGTCAACAGCCTCGGCTTCCTGCCTTATTATAACTTGATCCACTAGAGTCTCTATTTTCAAATTATCTTCCCTCGAAGGTTACACTCATGAGAATACATGGATCCAATCCAAAAATAATACCCTAATTTTTCCTTTTTTAAAAAGCGGCCCAGATGATATCCAATCATCCACGACAAACGAACATCCCGTTATGAGAGAGCAATTTCTCTTTATAGTGAATGTGGGTTGCCTTGGTATGGAGAGAAGGCACAGAATCTTAACAGGCAGCCTTTTTTTTTTATTCCAATGAATATGCTAATGCCCGTTTACATATGTAGAGGCATATGATCTTATCGGAGAATTTTAGTCTCATATAGTTAATGCATCAGAGTGGCTCTCACATACTTATTCATTCCTAATTTCTGGGCAAACCAGGGGAATGAGAAATATCTAACCAAACCCCTGGGAATTCCGTAAGAGAGTTGAACGGCAGCTGGCTCTCCATTGATAGGTTAGAAGCCATACTATGTATTTTGATTAAGAACTTCGAATCCTTGGATAGAGTGCGTTTTACTAAGTAGAAGTTGAAATGACAATACATATGTTTCTAGATGCTCTTTCAAGTATAAGCTGTCAAAATTCACCAGACTACGGAGATTAATTGTTATTTACGAAGCAAGATGCCCTTGAAAACTCATTTGCAGCTGGTATTAAGTGATTATTCTCTTGTAGCATCCGATGCAAATTCTTGTTGGCCGTTATAGAAGATATTAGGAACTAAATTGATTTCCATATTTCCAACCCCCACTGGATCAAACGTATTTTTTATTTTCAGGACAGACAATAACTATCCTTCCCATGCTCATATTCTTTGACGCCATAGCAAATAAAAGGATTTATGTACCGTATCGGAAATTGCATATAACGACAAGAAAAAGTGGGACACCCATCGAGAGAAGTTGGGGATAGAGTCAAGTAGGATGGCAAAATAAAAGATAAGTCCTGGTGGATGGAGAATAAGAACATTGAATAGATATGGGGATTATGGGTGAAAACAAATATATAATTTATAATATGGTTTTGCCGAAGAATATGCAACATGATCATGGTAAATAAAAGGGATGACTGTATAATGTGGATTAAATCTGGTAGGCTGACTGAATTCTCCAGGCCACGTTTGGGTCTAAAGTCCCTAAGAACGCTGCAAAGTCAGGGATTAATTCCTTATAACCTTGAAGAACCTGCAATTGAAATTGAGAAGTTAGCGTGACCAATTTAAAACCAGGGGGGATGAAATCCGTAGAGAAAAGGGGAAGCCACACACCTGTTGGGTTGACTGGTCTAGATCATCAAATTCAGGGGCATGGAAAGGCTTATCAGTCATAGAAGCGACTGCACTGAAATAGTCTGGCAGGCAGGATTCTAGTGCCTGCGGATTTTGCTTGAGAACTTGATTGAATCCCGCAAATGCGCCAACTTTCTCTCGCGAAAACTCCACGTTGCCCATGATTGACAGGAAAGACGGTGCAAATTGCGCTAGACGAGGAGCCAGCTGCTCGGCGCATCCTAGGCCAAGACGACCTAGAGCGATGGCCGCATTCTCAGTCACGGAGTCACGGATTTCTTCGTTGGTCATGATGGCAAATAGTAAGGTGAAGAGGCTCTCTGCATATGGAGCCATGGTAGATTTGGCGTTCATGGATATCTCTCCACAGGCCCAGCAGGCATTGTTCACCACACTTAGACCGGTTGACGAGTCCTCATCCGCTAGCTGATCCAGATCAAGCTGCTTCATGAGTGACGGCATTATAGTGGGTAGGAAGGGTTGGAGCTGATCGAAGAGAACCATAGCACAGTCACCGAGAACCGCATAAGCGGACATGCCCACATCGTAACATGAATCCTGTAGACAGTAGGCCAGAAGCTGGAAAAAAGGTGGCTGGCTATTTACCACGAGCTCTTCACTTTTTTGACGGTCAATGGCTTGAATGATAGCACTGAGTAGATCCAAGCATGTGATGAAGTAATCCTTGTTTGGCTCGTTAACGGCGTGCCCGTTAGCTTCCGCATTGCACTCCATAATGGTGCTATATATTAGCTTGGTACATCTGCCGAATATTGGTGGTGCGAACGGTGTAAAGGCATGCCCATAAGCGCTGGCGATATAGCCAAGGCACTCCAAGAGTGGAAATATCTCTCGTGATTCATCTGCCACTTTATTCCATCTTGCAATGAGGCAGGGCATGAGAATCGACACTAGCGCAGGTTTTGCTAACTCAGACATTGTACATTCGGCGAGAGTTTGCACACAATCATAAAGGACGTCTAGGTTTCGATCCTTGTACTTGTCAAAACAGAGAACAAACTGCCGTAGGATGGGTTCACAGTAAGGGATGATATGTGGCCCCGATTTTTCCTCCAAGCTTCTGAAACCAGAGGCAGCAGCCTCTTGGACCTTTTTGTTGTTATCCAGCATACGGTGAAGCATGCCTTCCATCATCGGCTCAAAGAAACGGGTTTTTTCAGCTTGTTCAAGGTGTGCTGCCCAACCTGAATATCTACCCAGACACCAACAGGTAATCATTCTCACGATTGGCTCTGGATCTGTTAGGAGTGATACTAGGTAGGGAATCAGCTCTGGGAGATGGGGTTGGACTGTTAGCATGCACCCATCAGCAATAGCACCCAATGCTAGTACTGATGCCTCCCGATGGGCCCAGCTAGGGTTCTTCAAATGTTCTCGAAGATAGGGAAGGACGATCTCGAAAACAGGCTGGTGGTAGACGGTTGCGAAAATATCTAAAGCGGTAGCGGAACTCTTTCTTATAGTCCACTCTTCTTCAGGGTCATCATCAATCTCTCCATCACTTAGGTCATCATCATCAGAGTCTTCTACTTCAGGTGCTTTCTTATCACCATTAGCAGCTTCTTCGCTGTCCTTTCCACCAGGCAATCTCGCGGATTTTGTTTTGGCAAACTGAGGTTTTAGATCCTCAGGCCTATCCTGTTCATCTGCGTCATCTGCCTTGCCGGCGATCATAGCGGCCTCTTCTTCGTCGTATACCATATTCTGAAGCAAAACGGGAATGATTTTTGGTAGATATGGAGTCAATGCCGACCTCAATTGTTTTTCTTCTCCGGCAACTATCCAAAATTCAGAAGCATCTAATACCAGCTCGGGATCTTCCTGGCTATGCTCCTGCATCAACACATAGTTGACAAGTCCATCCATATGAGGAATGAGCTTTTCCGGGGCAACCTCTGCCAGTTGGTTAAATGCCTGGCAGACCGCCCTCCGGACGTCCGTGTTTGGATCTTCAGCCACTTTAAACAGGTGTTGAAGAAAAGTGTCAAGTGATTGCATGAGAGCAGGTGATTTGTGAGCGATAAACATTTGGACTGTCGATAATGCCATGGTTCTAACTTTTGGTATAGAACTGGTCGTGAACTCCATCAGTTTGGGTAGTATAGCGTTAATGGGTTGTTGTCCCTGGATCTCCTTCTGTAGAAGCCGGTGGTTGTCCTCACATATTCTTTGTAATGCAGTCATTGATGCTTGTTGAGTACGATTTGGAACTGAGGCTGACGTATTCCCTACTAGTGACACCAGTTCCTCAAGTAAACTCGGCCATCCTAATACCCCTCCCTGTTTGATCATCTCTGCCATGATAGTACCAGCGGAATTCGCAACGGCACTATATTCATCCCCTAGTGCCACTAGGCTCGCCTCTTGAAGGTATGCCAAAGCATCAGGAGATATCGACTGGTAAGCCACCTTTATCTTTGTTTTTAGATTCATTGCCGCAGCCACTCGGACCACATTGTATCCCTGGACGTCGAAGCCAACAGCGGGAGGAGGCTGGGGAGTGCGCAGGAGGAATGATAGGTAATTGACAAAGTCCGGGGAGGAGGTAGCTTGTGTGAGCATCTAATTAAATACCAAATGAGTTAAAAAAACGGTCGTTCTCATTCCAAATATATAAATAAATTGGCTGCTCTCGAAAACTCGGGGGCTCACCTGCTCTGCATTTTTGCGCACTGCTTGATCTCTCGCATTCAAAGTGTCATTCAGATACCCCGCCAACTGCGCCAATGTGCTCTCCTCCGCTTGCCATGCCATCTTGAATTGGCCCTTATACTAGGATCGCCGTCCAAAAGATGTAAGGTTTCGAACCGTCGTAGGAGCCAAATATAGATGATGTGTAAGGGGGGGGGGTTGAGAGATGGAAAGTTGCAAAGTAATCAGCCTCTCCCCGCCGAGTGATAAGATCCCGTCGTGCGAGACAACGTCGAGGACCAGCTGGTGGGAATGAAGAAGAGAGATAAACAACGGAGTGAAAATGCCTTTCTTCTTCCTATTTCGCTCTCGGAGACAGCGGCAGCGGGAGCCAACAGGTCTGTCAAAGAAGACAATTAGTTCCAGGTACAAATGATATACGAGCAATAAAAAATGTTGCTGGTCCACAAACCGCGGCCGAAAAACAACCCGCAACGCGCCAAGGCCTCACTCACCTCTTAATAATCCCCGGAAAGGTTTTATATAGCCTTGTTAAAAGTAGGTCGTGAAGCTGCAAAACGTCTTAAGGCGGTTTTTCTGATTTCTGATTCTTCCTTTGAACAAGAAAAAGTTTAGGTAAAAAAAAAAATTATGACGAAAATGGAAAGGCGGGGGGAAACGGCAGAAAGTCCTCTCCCTCCAAAACAGGAAATTATTTCTGTATTTTATATATATATTGGCCTATTCTTATATTCACATTCGAAGAGTATAGATGTATATTAGTATTATTGTAGAAGATGTATTAGCATGCTGTGGTTTGGGAGAGCTGTGCGGGTTAAGTGGTCTTGATATGTATGTCACGCAAACCAGGTGAATGCATTTGATTAAGCCCAGACAAGCTTCTTTATATCAAAAAACAGATGCTCAAAATATCCAGTCTGCCTACGAGCACTCTCCAGCGAGATTATCTCAGTCTGCTCGACGATCGATGGCCTCTCCAAATGGATGGCCGCAGGCAGGCTAGCACGGCTCACCATGCGTTCGATTTCCTCACAAATGGCACGCACAGCGTCCATCTCGCTGACCTCGGCGCTTTTGGGTGCCCTGACTACTGCTGATGACGTGTTTGGTAGTTTAAAGGCAAGGAAACTAGTCGAGGACCGGTCTGATCCCTTGAAGAGAGTGGAAAGGTCCCATTCGATGATATCTTGGTTCTCCGCCGCTGGGTCTGGCTTCTCTGCAAAGAGACTATGTAGTGAGGTTGTGTTGACTCGCAGAGTGTTGCTGGTGCTGGGACGGTATGCAATTGCTAGGCCCATGTTTCTCTTCTCGTCCCTCTGGGCTTCAGTAAGGGTGGAGCTGATGTATGTTCCGTATTTGATATTTGTGATTGACGTCAGGTCGATGCGTTCAAAGGAGGTAACCTTCTCCGTGTTGCAGTCGAATCGGCATGAATACACCGCTACATTTGTGAGCAAGAGGATGGTTTGCTCAAACGGCAGGGTTCTCAGGGTGTTTGGTTGACGGGGGCTCAGCATGGTCCAGCCACCGATAAACTCTTCATTCTCGTCGCTGATCACGATCTGACAACTGGTCTCGATTGCGCTCTGGCGAGCTTTCTCCATGGATATACCAGGGTCTGCGCTCTGCAGGTTTGACTCAAACTCATCGAAGACGCGGGTAGTTACGTTTCCAAGGAGATAATCGATGCAGGCTTGGGAGAAGTAATCGGTGAAAATGTTGGTGTAATATCTCGTCAGCGTCAGGCCAAGGTCGTTGAGAGCGCCACGGTAATCACGCTTACGGGTCCTGGTATAGTCTCCCTTGAGTGCAGCAGTGGACGAGTACTGTTTTGAGATGGCGTCCCCGTTATCTGCCCAGAGGATGTTGAACCATTGGGTGGCAGCACTCGCCTGAAGATCAATATACTGCCCCTCCTCTTTGAGCTGTTTCTCCAAGGCTCGCTGACCGAATGCACACTGTGAGACACCAGTGCGGTCCAAGCAGTCCATACAGTTCGTTCTCACGACCCCCGACTGGCTGCGAAGAATAGTGTTGTCCTGGATGACTGTGTCACCGAAATCATCAAGTGTATCTGCCATCCTGTCTACCAGACGACTGACATTCTCAAACTTCATGCCACGGCATTCTGCATGGAAGTCAAACCACTGGTATGGCACTTTCTTGTCCTCGCATGTTTCTGCCTTGTTAAAATTTTCTAGATAACGTCCATACGTTTCTGCGATGTTTACTTCCACGCCATGCTTATCAACCAGGCAGACGGCATGAACCTTGCCGTACCTCCTCTGGATATCATGAAAATGTTTTGTAAACGAGGCTAGGTTAGTTTGCGCGGAGTGATGCATAACCGGAATTGGTTTGAAGTAATAGGGAGACTGAGAGAAGTAAAGAGGGATAGACCCTCGCAGTTGGACGAGAGAATATACCTTCTCTGTCGAACTCCAGGAAGGGCTTGACAGTATTTGTTCTGTCTCCACTGAGTTCGCAGTGTTACCGTCATCGTCAACTCCACGGCGAAGATAACGAACTCCTGAACGTAAAACAGAGCGGCGGGATACCAAGGTGAGAAGAAATGTTCGACTGCCGTTGGTCGAACCACCTTTACCTGTCTCTTTGGTTACCTCTGTAGGTTTATCTTCACCCTCACCTTGGGGCTCCGGAGGAGCAATACTCTCGGCAGTGAATTCTTGCTGTCCAATAAAACCCTGCATTATCGGGAGCGTGAAGGTGTGCCGCCCATTATCTATAAAAGGTTTTATCAAGTGTCTATTCCAGAAAAACTAATGAAACCAGGCTCGTTAGCCCGAGCGAGCATGTATCGGGAAGAAAAAGGAGGGAAATGTATTACCAATGGGTTGGCCTGGTGACATAGTGGGATATGTGTTGAAGCAGGATCTACCGGACCAAACCGTCTAGTAATATCATAATCGTATGAAAAGTAGAAGCTTCGTGATCCAAACATCATCTTGGTGTACTTCAGCAGTTTCGGCATCAAGTCATGGGTCCTATTATCTGTCATGGCGGATTCCTCACTGGTATCCTTGGATTCTTGACCATCAAGCACATCAGTCCCGAGATTCTTCAGTTCCATAGACTCTACGTGAGCGGACCCGTCATTCAACGAGATGAGCGAGTGTCTCCTGGAGTCAGGCAGCCCGATGCTGCCCCATCCCTTTCTTGCAAACCACTCTGCTGCGAATCTGCCATACCGGCCTCGTTTCTTGATAACGTCTTCTGCAATGCTGGTTTCGTTGCTAGGCTCGTCAACTGGAGGATATATGTCACCCTCTGGAGATATAGCATCGAAATTATTATGATCGCCAGCCAAAAAGTCTTCAGAGTTATCTGATTCGCTGTCTGACAGATCGTAGGTGTCCGGACTATTCTCCAGCGCTCGCTGTGCCTGGTTTATCGCCTTGGAAGCCTCAGCCTGGCCCGAGAGTGGGATGATAGATACCCCAGTGATCACAAAGACTGGTTTCCCCAGGATATGCGCAACCTGCTGGCGCTGAGTGATTGATATTAGGAACGAGTAGGATGCGATGGAGAGCAGGCCTATGGTTTAACATCAGTTAGCGCTAACTCCATGACAAGGGCGAACAGATACAAAGACACTCACCGATCAGGCCATGCGACTCCAAGCAAGCATCATTCTTGTATTGGTAGTTTGAGACCCTCGCCGGCGAGTGTATATGATGCGTCTTGTAGTCGACCTGCACTAGATTGGCAGACGAACGAGTGTTGTTATGGTACGGTTGGAGGATCAAGCCATCCACGGCCGCGATGATGAGCAGCTTTCTCGCCAGGCCAGGCATCTTCTCTGTCGGTTCTGATCACAGACAACAGATAGTCGCAGAGACATCGCCGGGAGTGAAAAAGCGGCCATCCTGAGCAGAAGTAAAAGACTTCGATGGGCCAATATCGGTGGAGGAAGAGAAAAGCTCGTCGAATCGACCAACCATTCCGTCACCTGACCTCGGCCCAGTCCATCCATAGCCATGTAAGATATAAGTATATGTTTACGGACGAGAGAGAAACAAGTGCGCCAAAATAAACAGCCTCAAGAGGAAGAATATAGGATCACGATGGAAAGTTGACCAAGAAGAAAAGGTGTAATAGTAACAGGCGTGATAGATTCCCCTTCAGCATACAAATCCTACTCCGAAACGCCATGTCTACATGCAAACAAGGAGAAGAAATAAAAGAAATAAAATCCGGCCGAAGGGTGCCCGAAAGGGTGGAAATAGAAGAAGAAGAGAAGGAGGACGATCCTCCTAAAGGAAGGTTATCGTGTATATGAACACTTCCCAAAGGTACCGATTCCCAGTGATACATGGACAGGCGTAAAAGTCTTTCCCTATCCGCAGGCAAAGCTGCGGGTTAAAAAACCCGGAGAGTGATCCAAAAGGAATAATAATTCGAAGAAAGAAAGGAGTTTAAAAAAAAAAAAAGGAAAATAAGACAAGAAAAAAGGGTCATTACTATCTCCTGTCTTGCTGATTTCGTGGTCGATTCATGTTGGTTTATTATACCCGTCAATCATGGGGGAAAGGATGGCGCTTGAAGTTGTCGGTGTAATGCGTCGATCCCGAGGTATGTGAAGAGATATATCAATCAGGGGCCAAGTGGCTTAATGGGCCTTTTCAAGGCTTTACCCCGTTTACATGGGAGACCGGATCATCTGGATCATGTTCCGCTGTGCCATTCCCCTTATGCGAGCTGCTACGGTCACTGGCATTGTCAGGCTCCTCGGTTAGATCTTCAAGTCCAAATGCGGCAGCACCACTCTCGATATCATAGGATCGCATGAGCCCTTCTCTGTCACTAGACGCGCCGAAATACGCAATGCTCGAAGAGCTACGGCGGTGCGGATCGACACTTCTCCGAGCCTGTAGCGATCGACGGGTCTGGATACCTGCGATTCCATCCGTTGGGACAGCATCGTCGTCATCTGGTCGGCCGATAGAACGGCCATCGGGATCTGTCCTCGACAGGTTGAGTAGGTAGACGCCGGAGAAGATAACGAGGAAGCCGCAGAGAAGAGAAATGGTGCTGACTTTGTTGGTGGTGTTGAATCCACGGAACAGAATGAAGGATGCACATAAGGTAGCAGTGGTAAAACTAACATAGTACAGCGGGTTTACACTATAACAGTTAGCATTGCTGTCTTATGTAGAGGGAGTGTAGAACGAACATCGAGGTAGAGAACTGGCTAAGGGCCTTGTTGAAGTAGTTCATCTGGGTCAATATGCAGCAGACGACTACGATAGCAAAGACATAGGTTGACGGGTGTGTAAACTGATTGTGTCCGTCCAAGGTAAGTTTCACGGCAATTCCAAATGCTTTGACCGACATGACCGAGACAGATCCAACGGTGGAACAGATAGAGATGTAAACAAGTGGATTTTTCTTGCCGTATTTTGGTGAGACCCGATATATCATAACTGTAGAGAAGACAGCGACGAAGGTACAGTAAAGAAGGAATCCTATATACAGTTAGCATTGCGAATCTATCGGGTTGCTCGGTCGCCGGGTGAGTACCAGGCTGAAGTGCATAATGCAAGATCTCATCTATAGTTCCTATTTCCTCATCTGGAGGCGCGTGAAGGACAATTATGACTGAACCAAGGAGTGAAAGGGCGCATCCAAGCTTTCCCAGAATTCCAAGCCGCTCATTGAGGAAGTATGCCCCCAGAACAGCCCTAATCGGGAGATTAGCTCGTGTGAATGATATGTAGACGGAGGACTGGTAACTGACCCGATCAGGACACTTAAAGCGCCGAGAGGAGTCACCAGAATTGCGGGAGCAAAGGCATAGGCAGCAAAATTCGCAACCTCTCCGAGAACCACTGATATACACGAGTTAGCGCATTCTTTCATCTGGACTACGTGTGTGAAGCAAAGGACTGACATGTAACGATTCCTCCCCACCACATGGGGCTCTTCAAGTATGAAAATCCATCTCCTTCGAAACCATGTCTTTCCGACGCTTGTATTAAACCCTGTGCGGCGATATATAAGTATGGCGAATCCAAGCTCTAGGAGGCCAAGTTGGCACCGACCTTTTTAGTGATAACAAAACTTGTGCCTATTTAGAATATTTGTTAGCAGGGGCCAGCTTCAGGGAGATTTACTCCCATCCTGGAGTTGCCACTCACCAATGGCCATTGTAGATACGATGGCGAGACATAGCCCGATATACCTAACGGCAACGTTAACATCACGTTTCTCCAACCTGAATCGCCCGGAACTCTTTTCTTATTATTCTCCCCTGAAGGCCATACTTGTCTGAAACCATATTGCCGGTTATATTATACTATGATCTTCTTATTTTCACCGGTCTTTACCCCCGCCTCTCACGATGGCTGCGCAACGGGTATATACCGTTCAACCGGACCAGCAGAGCAGCGCAATCAGTTGGTTAATATTAATATTATTCCCCAGAGCGAAAATCGGGCCAGCAACTTTCGAGCGCAGGTAATGGGGGGGAGGTCGTTTATTCGTGGCGAGCCGACTTGGGACCGACCAGCGTGGCGGAAGGAAAGTAAAACGAGCGACTCAGAGTAGGAAATGCAGTAAGATAGAGTGATGCCTCTGCAGAAGAAGCCAGAAAATGAGATAGTTCGCGGTGAGCAGCTCTTCTGGTCAGATCTGATCGCAGTTTTGGGAGATCGTAAGTCGTGGTCCGTGGAGACCTCGGTGGAGGATGGCCATAGAAAGGCAGCAGGAAAGACGAGAGAAGAGAAACACCAGACACCGGCACTAGGACGCAGGGCCAGAGCAGCAAGACACCGGTTTATCCTAGCTGTTTGACCTGCTCAGAAAGTCTTTCAGGTTTTCTTGGTGAAAGACTGCTAAGAAGAAGCAAAAAGTTGTTGATTTCAGGCCAGCTTTTTTTTTTTGGTTGTTTCATGAAAAGCAGTTCTTGCTTAGCTAAGCGACTCCCCTTGCCCGTTGTTCGTCAGGTACAGCGAGAAGGATGTTGATATAAGCGAGTATTATATCAGGCAGACGGAGAGCAAGGGAAGAGGGGTGGATAGAAGATAAGTAGGAGTGTCTGTTCCCGTCAAGGTGCTTTTGCTGGTATAAATGAGTATACATGGTGCGGGAGGCTCAACCTTAGGCATAGGGGGGAAGATGTTTCAGGGGTAAAGAGAGATCGGAGATGAGACATGCACAAGGGTGGACGGGGAGAGGGGGGGAAAGCAGCAAGTAATATACTATGTATATCTATATACTTAAAAGCGTGAGATATACGGCCAGGGGGGAACATGAACCCACTGAACACGACGAGGGTATATTACCATGTAGGAGATGAGGCAAGATGATTATAATTATGTTAAAAAGCAGACTAACCAGGCAGCTATCATACAGAGAGGTCTCCAGCAGGGAAGAGAGATGGGGAGAAACAAAGTAAAGATGAAGATAGGAAGACCTAGGCTTTTAAGATGGTAGAAGGTGAAGAAAACAGAAGCTTCCAAGGGTTAAGATATCAACCCTTGTCTCATCCGTGCATGAAACGCCATGTCAAGCCACAGATACGGTCAGTGCGAAGGTACGAAAAAAAACAAGAAATAGGGCTGAAAAGAGAAGAAGAGGAAGAGAAAAGAAGTGTGTGACCGGGTATGGGCAGGGTTGAAAAGTTACCAAGTAGGATGAAGAGGCGAAAGCCAGAGGTATATAGGTAGATATACCAGGACCTCAGCAAGAAAATCACCCCAACAAAGGGTATCCTAGACAATGTAGTTTTGAACCGTTCCACCTTGATATCCTCCTTTGCAGACGAACATCTGGTTAAAGTGTCATGTACCCGAGTACATGATATTCGACCCACAAGGGGGCTTCCAGTAGCCTGGCACTCTCAGGGTGCTTGTGCTGCTGCAGAACCATGGCATCCATTGGGGTGAAAGTTGTTTGAGGCGTCTTCAAGAAAAAGTTCAAAGGAGAAGAGCGGACATCTGGGGACTTATGGTTAGTATTTAGGAAAGGTTACATACCTCTCATCATTAGTTGATGCTAGGTTGGAATGATTCGGTAATGGCTATGGGCGGCTATCCCTGTGTAGATTAGTACGGCCATATCAGGCGAACGGATTGATCGTATGAGGTTAGTTGTCTACGTTTCTGGCTCCAGGTTTTGGCAGTAGTGAACGGGCAAAGTCATGCTTCTTTTCGTGAAAATAGCAGCCTTAGTAAAGATGGAAGGATAATAAATATGATAAACCACCACCTTATTCAGATCGAGGTTTCTTTATCACAGGAACTGGGTTTGATATGCTGATCGGCTCATCGTCCACACGAGGCCTCTTGGCGACCTTTGGACTCTGCTCCTGAAAAGTGGCATCATTTTGAGATAACCCATTGGATTCGTCTTCCAGTAGAGCTGATTCAGTGTTTTCATCATCATTGTTTGGGATATCGTTAGAGCTCAGGTTGTTTCCATACAACAGCTCCGTCTTGTGGGGTTCTTCTAAACTGGCAACATCTGGGCTCTCGACAGCGTCATTTAGCCAGACTACATCCAACCCAGGTGAGCCAGCAAAAGTATCATCATGTTGGGCTGTTAGATCTTTAGCTTCAGGATTAAGGTCGGCGTGGCGTTCCAACTGTGCCTCTTCAGCCACAGAATGCACATCCTCATCTTGATTAAAATCTTGAGTTTGATCTTCTTCAGGGATGGTACGGGCCTCGGAAGTATCCTCATCATTCTGGTCCACAGGGATAGTAGATCTGGGCTGATATTCATCAAATATCTCCGTTGGATGTGCGGCTGCATCTGGAGGGCCTGTATCCTGGGGCTCAAGAGAGCCCTGCGGCAAATCTGCTAGAGCGGCCGTGGGACTCTTGAAAATATCTTCATCGACCTCGAGGGGATTATACGTTGGTTCTGGCGTATTAGGTTCTGCGGCCTGATCATACGAAAGCTGAGTAGAGTCACCATCCACTAAACCATCATCGTCGCCGTGCGCTTCCTCGTGTGATTTTTCGTCATCGTGCTGTTCGTCTTCGAACCCTTCTAACTCGATTTCAATGAAATCTTCACTAGGGCCAGGAGCAACCTCGTTGAGATGCTTGGTGTTAGTATCTTGAGAAGCATCAAAAACTGAAGGCTTTCCACCTTCTTCGTAAGTTGGGGGTTGTATGCTTTCATCTTCCAGTGCGTCTTCATGACTCGGCTCTTCAATTTGCCCCAAACCTGTCTTCATTTCCGTTACCTCCTGCTCAACACTTTCATCGGCGCCTGAAGAATCATTGGTGACCTCTTCTGGTTCTGGTTTATTTGCCTCAATGTTAGTGGCCTCGGGTTCCTTAGAAGTTGCAGCAGGGGCAGATGCTGCTTCCTCTTCTTTGGTTTCATTCGAATTAATTTCTAAATTTTCTTTCACGTAAGTCTCATCGTTCACTTCTTCATGTTCAGTTTCCGGATGGGGAAGAAGAGTTGCTGGTTGGTTCGTTGAGGATTCAACCTCTTCTATGAAGGTTTCTTGCCCTTCTTCCTGCAAACTATCTGCATTTCCATGTTCTTCGAATACAATTTGGTCTTCGTACTCATCCCATTTGCCAACATGGGATAGCCCTTTGCCAGCTTGTGCTGCATCTGAGAGGGCTGTAAAACTTTTGGTAAAGGTTGGCTGTGTTGTAATAGATATGTATAATGGGCCGGGATTAGTGTCACCATCATTATGGGAAAGGTTAAGGTATACTTGAACTATCTGTGACAGCGATATAGGAGAACGGGTAGTCTAAAGAGAATAGGCGTTAATATCTCATCATTGGCACAACAGAGTTCAGGAAAAAGCCTTACCTCAGTTAGGTGAAGCCCAAGACACTCTATCTCCATGTATAGTTCCTCTTCTGTTCCCATATGGTCTCCTAGGACCACTCTACAGGCGCTTAGCAAATCTCCAATTGGTTCATGTGCGAGTGCCTCATCCTCAAGGAAATATGTTTCGGATAGATCATCTTGTTTGGGAGGAAATAGCGAAATTTCGCTGTCTTGATACAAGACTTGTACATTGTGCAGAGTTGGAAGCTCGCTTTCTCTGTTCTCAGTTTCATCCCCGCGGGTCACTGATGGTTCCTCTGCTGTCTGGTAAGTGGCCTCATCAAGGTCTTCGACTGGGACTTTAACTTCCTGGCCTGGCTCTCCATATTCGAGATGTTCTCTATTTGATAACGGGTCGAGATCATCATGAGCCTGTTCAGGTTTGCCATCATCTTCCTTCACTTCTGATTCTGGTTGTTCTATGTCTGAGGGTATTTGAACTTCTTTATTTCCTTTTTTTGGCGCTGACGGCGTGATCTCAGATGGTCCGGCCTGCGTACTAGTTCCAACCTCGCCTTCCGGTTCATTCTCCAGAGTACGACAATCCTCAATCATTCCTGCTGAAGTCACATTGTCTGCAGGCATGTTAGGTTCTATCACACCCGTGCCCGGTATTGGGGCATCTATGTCTTCCTCATAATCGTCCTCCATCTCATAGAATCGGTGGTCTATATCCAGTGCATCGTCGATAAACTGATAATCTTCTTCAGTCTCTATATGATCACCTTCATCGTGGTGGAATCCGCCGTCTTCCATGTCTGCATCTTTTACGGATTCGTGGACGTCTCCTATTATCCCCGGATGATCTGAGCCAGCCATAGAGGCATCATCAACGATCACATCGTCGTCATGGCCAGGAGCTTCCACGCCATCCAGTTCAATCTCTATATCATCCTGGGCATCGAAGTATCTGCCCGCATCAGGCGCCATCTCCATACTCTCGTCAAAAACAGTAACCTCCATCGTGAGAATTTGCAAATCGACCGCGTCGTCTCTGTTTCATATGAAGCCGTTCAGGCTGTGGCACTTGGTGGCATAGCGGAGGGCTAGAGAGTGTGATATCAAAAGTGACGGTGTTTTTTAATGTCGAATACAAGGTCTATAACGATAAGTTCCTTCTTTGCTGTTGCGTGTGATGACCAAAACAGTTCCAACTGTTGAGTTGTGAAGCTGGAAACAAAAAGATAAATTTCCTCTTTCGCCACAGTACACAGTAAGCGACGTCGTGCACGGGCCACCTCGTCTCTCTTGAGGACAAGTTTGAAGCATCCAAAGCGGGAGAGAGAAGAAAAAAGGACAACAATATCAACGGACAACGAAACCTGTCGAGCCAACGGCAACGTTTGTTCGAGATATACACGCTTTACTGAAGCAGTTTACTCTTAGCTGTAACCGACAGAAGCAATGGTAGGCCTTTTAATCTACTTCTTCGTCCCCCCATGCTTCACCCCAGTATTACTGACTGCATCGTATAGGTTGTGCTCGCAGCTTCAATATGTACGAGAGGGGGGAAGGCCGTCCTCTCACGGCAATTCCGAGAGATAGCACGCACGAGAATAGAGGCATTGCTAGCCTCGTTCCCTAAGCTGGCAGATTCGGGAACGCAGCACACTATCGTCGAGCAGGACAATGTTCGATTTGTCTATCAGCCCTTGGACGAACTGTACATCGTCCTCATCACAAACCGTCAATCAAACATTCTCCAGGACATCGACAGTTTACATCTCTTTGCTCAGGTTGTGTCTAGTATTTGCAAAAGCCTAGATGAGAGAGAAATCGTGCGCAGTGCGTTTGAACTTTTGAGCGCTTTTGATGAAATTGTTACCCTGGGATACAGGGAAAACCTATCCTTGTCACAGATAAAGACCTTTCTTGAGATGGAGAGTCATGAAGAGCGAGTCCAGGAAATAATTGACAGAGTAAGAAACCAGCATTTTTCTTTCAATACTCTCGTTCTCTCTCAGTTTGAGTGAAATGTTACTAATATCCGTGTGTAGAACAAAGAATTGGAAGCAACTGAAGAGCGAAAGCGAAAAGCGAAGCAACTCGAGATGCAGCGCAAAGAAGCTGCCCGGAGTGGGAGATCTATGGCTCCACGAACTCCATCCTACCCAACCTACACACCACCCATTCGATCAAGTGTTCCAGATGCGATGGATTCATATGAGGCCGAGAAAAAGAAGACATTCTCCAAGTACGATGCCCGTATCCTTTAAGGATGTAAGACATAGAAATAGCGCTAACTATCAATAGGCCCCTCGTCACCAGAGGCAAAGGAATGCAGCTCGGAAAGAAGTCTAAGAGCACCGATATCTATGAGAAAGTACGAGGTGAACTTGGACCAGAAGCTGAAGACATGCCACTTGTTACACCCAGCCCTGCTGCTGCTGTGGCTGAAGCTCCATCAACAAGAGCATCTTTGTCCGCAGACCGTGAACCAATTCACATAACTGTTGCCGAGAGTATGTCCGCCAAGCTATCTCGAGACGGCGCCTTGAAATCATTTGAAGTTAAGGGTGATCTCCAACTCCGCATCTCCGACCCTTCTTTCACCAAGGCCAAGCTTGACCTGACAGCGAATGCAACGCACGGCGCCCAGTACCGTACTCACCCGAATGTTGACAAAGCGCTCTTTTCGAGCCAAAAGGTCATCCAGCTGAAAGACACATCCAAAAGATTCCCGGCAAACAACGCAATTGGCGTACTTCGATGGCGTATTGCGAGCAATGGAGAGACAGATCTACTACCCATCACTTTTACCGTGTGGGTCAATAAAGGGTCTGATTCGACTACCGTTACAGTGGAGTACGAGCTCACTGGATCAGAAAACCTGCAAGACGTTACTGTCACAATTCCTTTCCAAACAGTAGAACCAACCATTACCAGTTTTGACGCAAACTACGAAGTGACAGGTGACACTTTGGATTGGAATATTGGAAACGTCGACTCATCCAACTCATCTGGTAGCTTCGAGTTCGAGTCTTCTGATCCCGAGAGTGATGAGAACGAGTTCTTTCCTATGAATGTCCGATTTAACAAATCGACACCATTTGCGGATGTAGATGTTCATTCCGTCTCGTTACTAGATATGGAGGGCGAGGGTGTGGGCTTCACCCAGGATGTCAAATGTGTTTCTGACGGGTATACCATCGAGTAAAGGACCTTAATAGACATATTCGTATATTATAAAATGCTTCCACCCTCTTTTTTTCTGTTCTACTGGTTGGACTTAACGCTTATGCTTGCTATTAGAATGTAGCTTGGGCTACTGCTGCCTTATTTGCACAATTATGTTTTTTATGGTATCAATCTAGCAAGGTTAGTTTTTAGCTCTAGATAAAATAATGTGCACCTCATCCCCTTCTAGCAGACTATGGCAGTCAAACTATGTGACACAATGCATTCACCTGCAAATGAGTATCCTTTCAACAACATAGGACACCAAAAGTAGGCACAGAACCCTCTGTCTAGTATTCCCACCTTCGTTTCTTCGCCGTAAAAAAACCCCTTGCTTCCATTGATTTCGGAATGCAACCGCAATAGTCAGCCATCTTAGATTTGGTACTTTTTTCCAAACTTACTGTACCAGGATTAGTAAATGTAATAGAAACCGGCATATGGGCGCTCGCCAACACAGACACTCTGTCGCGAAATTGGCTATTTCCCCAAGAATCATGCCCACCCATAACATAGCGATTGTGCTTTAGGCATAGACCAATAAAACTTTGGGGGCCAATAAATTTAGCAATATGATCAAGAAGAGGAGTAAGGCGACGACGAAGCCCACATCCTAGGTGGTAAGAATCCAGTTGGTACTCCGGACATTGCCTCAGATATGAAATTAGGGAGTTAATATTCGCCGTAGCTTCCGCTTGGTTCGGTAAATACTGCCTCCCAGAGTCCTCCCTAAGCATACCGCTTGTGTCCTGACACTCCTGGGAGAAATCTTCAGCTCCATTCAAATCTTCATTTTCATCTTCACAAGTTCTAATACCAGACTCAGTATATATTGCAGATTCCAAAAATAATGTCTTAGACCGAGAAGTAAGAAAGTGGATCATCTCGCCTAGCTGAAAAGAGTCACAAGCCCTAGAATTTGCCAGGACACGGCGGCATTGCAGTTGTCGGGTTGGCTGCATTACCGGGCCACAAGATGAAGATTGCAGTGTCTGATACGGATTAACTGCCCCATAAGCAGCAAGAAAGTAGTTTTGGACCTCATTGATGGTGTCGAGTATACTATCATGCCGAATTTGGAGCTCCTCTAAGAAGCAAATGCATTAACATTGATTGTGTCAAATAAAGAATATGTTAGGATAGCATACCCTCTATTCCCTCTGGAAAGTGCCACCATAAGGGCTTCTCAAGGCCAGCATGGCCGCTAGGTTTATTTGCCATCCAGTTAATCGAGCCGCGGAGAATCAACAATTGCGTCAGACGACCGAAAGATTTCGGCTCTTGGAAGAAGAGGGCCAGGAATATAGCCTCCCTGACCCGTTCTTCATCACTGCTTTCAAAGTTCCAGAGCCGTTGTAATATCCTTGAAGGAGCAATCGCTTTCCCATTGTCTAATGGTTGGGCTAACCGAAACGCTCGCCTCAAAGCCGGGTATGAAACAAACCTATCCGACAGAACTATCAGGCTAGCCAACAGGGAGACTGGGCTATTGATAAGTCGCATGAACACACCACCTGAGTCCGATGGGTATTCTTCCTGATCGAGGCATAAAATTTGGAAGTATAAGGTCAAGGCCTCCTTCAAGTTCGCTTTTGTGGATAAAGGCGGGAGCTCAAGTTTCATGTGAAAGAGCTGGTCTATACAAACTGCTTCCAAAGCCGCTTTTTTGGAACCATGTTGAGCTTCCATCAGTCCATGGCTTTGCAGAAGTGATCTACCTTCTTGGAACTTCTCGGGATCTAACAGCACTTTGAAATAATCACTAGTGCGCCTTATTTCCAGGCTGCATAACCTGACCAGACACCTCTCGTATTTAGACAAAGGGTTATGAGACGAAATATCACAGACAAGGACCATATCACCATCCTCACGGATAATAAGGACTGGTGCTCCGGTTGTAGGCACTGTAGCCGGGTGCACGGGAAGAATATTGGTACTACCCGCATATGTCGCAGCAAGAGGTAGAGGGGGAAAATCTTCTTCCATTATTAACTGTAGTGCAGGATTTCTATCATTATCTCTTAACTTCAATCCGGTTTTGGGTTCGTGACTATAGGTGTAGGCTCGGTATGTAACGGGTCTTAGGAGACCATCAACTAGGAATGGACGTTCATATAGTAAAAACAATGTATTATGAAGATAGACAGAAAATGCTAAGACTGATATAGGTAAAGGTTATAGAGGGCGAATTCATTATCGAAACACCGATGGTGGCCTAATTTTTCTTCCTCCCTTTTCTCCCTTACATTTTTCCTGTCGTGAGAAATAAGGTTGTGCTGAGGTAACTTTTTGGATAACCTTAATCGCGCCT